CGTTCTGCTAATATTTTACCATTTTAAATGTTGAAAAAGAAATTTGGTGATCCGAATTCGAACTGTTCCTGTTGAATTGAATTGAATCCAAGTTGCTCAGGTTGATTCGGTTTTGAGTTTTCGGTGAGTTTTTAATAATTGCTCAGTCCTACCGAATGAGCTGGCTTTATCCCTTTTTAGGAAAATATTTTGAGGTATTTTTTTAAATTTTGATTGTAATATTAAAATATTTTTATATGAAAATATAAGATATCATACATATAAACATGAGTGTTGATGTAATGAAGATTTCTACAATAACTAATTAACATGAAATATAAGTATTCTTCAAAATTAGACATTGAAAAATCAAAAAGTACTGAGAATATTTTTGATGAAAGGGACCCAAATCTTCGATTTTGCCGACAAATAAATAAACAAAATTACAATGACCAAAGATGAAAGATACCGTCGGCCTCGGGACTCGGTTTACTCGAAAGGGTAAAGAGAAGTCTAGCCAACAATAAAATGCAAGAAGATGCAAAGCAGCATCAAGCACTCTTCTGAATGAGGCTTTGCTCTCAGAGAGACTGTTGAGTTTGGCAGTTGCTCTGCTCTCTGAACGACTGCGGAGCCGATGATTTCACCGTCGTTTTATGAATCAACCGCTCTTGCGTATATGTGTATGTATGTGTTTATATATTTTTGGGTAAATTATTATTTCGTCCCCGAGGTTTGATCTACATTACAGCAGTACATAATCTTCTCTGTGGAGGTTCTGTTGTTGCTGAGGCTATGATGATTTTCATTTTTCTCGAGTGCAAGAAGTTAACAATAAAGAACAATTTGATGGTTTGGCGGGGCAATGTGGATATGTTCTTTGTAGAGAGCTCCATTTTTGCAGCCACAGTCACTCTGTTCCTTTTATTGTTTGATTAAAGGCGAATCTGAGCCTCATTTCATCTCTTCTTTTTTTCTTTTTTTTTTTTTTCAACTACATCGTAGCTCATTGGTTTAAGAATGAGGTTTTGCTCCACTGAGGTGGAAGGTTTCAGGGTGGTTGAGTTCACCTCTTTGATAAGCAGGGGAGCCCGTGATTTGTCTTCTTATTTTGCCAACAGCCATCTTCCCTCGTATGTACAGAGAGGCCGAATACATAAATTCACCCCTAACTTTGTACTTTGACCAAGGATGAGATGATATGATGGAAGGTTTATGAAGGTAAAGTAATGAGGCTATGATGATATATCAGTGTTATAGAATCAGACTAGAATATAAACATCATTCTTCTGGCGGGGTAGCCTTTGGAGTCGCTGGAATGTGGGTTTCCCTCCTTTTCCTGGTAGCTCTTGGCTGCAGCCATGATGTGGTGGTGTTACTTTCTTGTTTGATTCAAATGCATATCTGACTTGTTTGATTCAAATGCATATCTGATCTGAACCTCCGTTTCTGTGCATTTCTCTGTTTGGGCTCTGTTTGTTTTCCGGAAAATATTTCAAGCAAAGGGTGAGGTTTTCCTGTTCACTTTTCTGTTTGGAAAAAGGCGAATCTGAGCCTCCTTTTATATGCTTAAACCAAGGTAGAATTGAGTTTTAACATTTGCTGAACATTGTTGGAATGTGAACAAAGTTTGGCTTAATTTTAATTTCTGTTTCTCAATCTTCCTTTGTGAGTGAGATATTATGTTGAACTGTTTTTTAGAACCATAGATTGTGATTGTCAATTTTAGTCGAACTGTTTTTTAGAACCATAGATTGTGATTGTCAATTTTAGTCTATGGGTCAAGAACTCTCAATTTAAGCTTAGAGGTGAAATGTCAACAATCACAATGCAAGGGATTTATACTGTCAAGTAATGAAGAATTGCTTAAGCAGGGATCACCCTTTATGTCATTAATGTATCAATCAAACCCAGGAAAAACATGTAGATACTTTTTGCTTGTTAATTTTTTTTAATCTTTTAGTTAGAACGAGGAAAACGTATTCGATGGTTACTTTTGCTAATAAATTATATGCGGTATTGGTTATAGCTTGGTGTCTTAATTTAAAAGCATTATGATCAAGTATTTAGAAAAATATTTGGTGTTGTCTAAAATAGCGACAGTGAGCGCTTCTCATACATTTTCTTCACTCTCATAAGTCTCAGTTTGAAAAACTCACTTTACATCCGTTCAGTTGTCACATTATAGACTGACTAAAATTTACCATATTTAATTGTAAATCCCACTATATTCTTCTTGCTTTGATCTTCATCCTTGCTGTGACCATTCTACTATTTTTAATACCTAAACTATTTTTAATAACCTAAAGTCATTGAGCTCCGCTTTCTCTTCCTTCCTTTTTTTTTTCCTCTCTTTTATCTACTATTTATTAATACCTAAGTCCTGAGCTTCCGTTTCTCTTTCCGTTTCTCTTTCCATTCCTTTTTTTTTTCCTCTCTTTTTATCTACTATTTTTAATACCTAAGTCCTGAGCTCCGTTTCTCTTTCCATTCCTTTTTTTTTCCTCTCTTTTTATGGAGTGGAAATTTTAGCTTATTTGTTTAAGAATGTGGTATTTGCTCTTAGAAAGTTGGATGGTTTCAGGTGATTTCATATCTTATGTTACCAACAGCCCTGAATATGCTGATGGTGAAAATGATTATGTTGATAACAACAGCAAATGAGGCAATGATGATTCGGTGTAAATTTTAGCTCATTAGTTTAAGATTGAGGTTTTGCTCTCAGAGAGGTGGATGGTTTCAGGGTGGTTGACTCTGCCTCTCAAATGGGTAGCGGAGCTGGTGATTTCACATCCTACAACAGCCCTTTATATGATGATGATGATGATGATGATGATTGATGATGATGATGCCTTTATATGATGATGATGATGATGATGATGATGATTACGTTGACAATAACATTAATAATAATAGCAATGAGGGTTTGATAATGCATTTAGTGACCAAAAAAAGAGAAACACATTATTTCTTTTGGCATGGCAGCCTTTGGCAATCAGAGGAGTAAGGGTTTTCCCTCACTTCCTGCCAGCTCTTGGATGCAGCCATGGTGTTCCTATCTTGTCTTATACATAGGCATATCTGATCTGAGCCTCCTTTACTCTAAATTTCTCTGTTTGAACTTTGTTTGATTCGTGGAAAACATTTCACCTCTTATATATGGCCGGCAAAGGCTTCTCTGTGATTGCTAACGTCAATACGTAAGTACCTATCTGTATCAATGATCTAGCTATCTGTGTGTATGTGCAAGTTGATTTTTAGGCTGCAATTAAGTCTGTTCCTTTGGGGCCTAAAAATCAGACATTTTAAATAAAAGAAGTGTGTACAGAATCTTTTCTTTGTGGATTTGGGGATAGCAGCATAGTGTGTTAATTCTACGTTTGGTCTGTTGTTTACTGAAATTTTTCTTTACTGCTTGTCCTAGTGTGAGTCCTTCCAGAGCATATGTTTGCTAATTCTTCATTACATCAGTCTGTCCGGTTGATTTTTCTTTTTTCGAAACTGTACTGGTGAATTTTTTTATTAAAATAAGTTGCTGTATTCTTTTTTCATGCCCTTTTCAGACTAATATTTTGCTCTAGTAAGGTATTTTTTTCTTATTTGATTCCTCCATTTAATTAACAAACTTGGTTGCTTTGATTCCACTAATTGAGCTTGATGTGAAGTCATAGCAATGAAACGTTTAAAATTCTGAAGGAATTGCACAGCACTATCAGTCAGCTTTTTTGTTGGAGATATAAAATCAAATGACTTTTTTCATTTTCTCTAATTTATTAGAAACTTACATATCTTTTATATTGAATAGACTGAAGTTTTGTTGAAATGACAAAAGCAATGATTATCCTTACCAGGAATATTATTAAATTTTATTCTCATGTTTCTTCAATCAAGAGGCATTGTTGATGAAAACGGAGAAAGTTCAAAGACGAAAACAGAACAAAGTACGTACTCCGCTAACTTACTGAGTAGGTTTTGTATCCTCTCCTCAATGAGTCGCTGTCTCCGGCTGGCATCGGCGGCATTCATTTACTAACGACAAAAATATTTTTCATAAATAATTCTTTTTTAGAATTTAGAAGAGTTATATATAAACTTTTTTAAGCTGCTTTACTTAACACTACTCGTACTGAAACCGACGAAAATAGACCTAAAAGTAAAATCACTTGCATGAGCAAAATTATTTCAAAGATATTAATGCGGACTCAGTCAGAAACAAAATAAAATACTAATTAATTTTTTTTTTTTTTTAAATTTGAACTTTCAACTTGAATTAAACAACATAATCTGAATTTATAAATATTGAATTCTTATTTGATTTGAAGTTTGACAATTATAAGTTAAAAAGTTATATATATGAATTAACACAACATAATCTGAATTATAAATATTAAATTTCTTATTATGATTAGAAGTTTGAAATTATAGTTAAAAAGTTATAATATATATTATACTGATATATATTAATAGACATATTATTTTATTATATAGGATAAGAATATTTGAATTGAGAATAATATACTATATAATGATTACTATTTTTGTATATAGACATATATTATTTTATTATATAGGATGAATATTTGATGAGAATAATATACTATATATGTTAACTATTTTTGAAATAATTTTTGTTGCACTCCAAAGATGTATATATACTTATATGAAAAATGTTAAAATTAAAAAAAAAATTTGCCAATCAGGTAGGTAATTATCTGATTGGTCTTTTCACTGAGCTATATTATCTACCCGCAGTGCCACTTTGATCTATTAGATTCAATCCGATCTGATCTTGGAGCAATAATGGTGCTGGTTCGATTCTTGATCCGGTTCCGAAAACATTGGGCAAATTCAATGAAAAAAGAAAAAGGCGCAAACGCAAACCTATCAATTTGCAAACATCACGTGGTTCGGACAGTAATAAATGAAAGTCGAGGGACCATTTATGAAAAACATTTTCATTTATTTAGTAAAATTAGAACGATAATAATAATAAAAAAATTATATATAGCGTTTAAATTTAAGGGAAACTTCAGCCTCATGCCCTTTTTGCACAGAGGCAAGGGCATTGGGTTAAAAACAGTTTCCTTTGCAGCCCCAAAAGCAATTCCAATACGCCGCCCACTCAATTTCTCTTCTCTTTCCCAATGTCTGCAGGACTGTCTTTGAGGATCTGATTATTTACTTTACTTCAGTCGTGTCAAAACCATCGGAATATTTCAATATCTGTCGCTAACGTCCAGTCCTGCGAAAGCTTATCCACTGAAGCTGTGAGTAATCCTTTTGATTTTTCTTTCTCTAGATCTATTAGTTTTTTCGATTTTAATGTCGTTTATGGGAATCCTTTTTTTGGCTATGGTTCTTATAGGAGGAGGAATAGATCATACAAAAATTGAAAAGCGCCGAATCTAAGTTCCAAGACGAGTTAAATTACAATAGGTAGTTGCTTTCTTTTACGTGATTTAGCTTGTGGCTAGATTCTTTTTGGAATTGTTTTGCCTGGTTTACTTTGCTATATTCCCTTTCAGCGCTGTTATGTTTAGGTTTTTGATTTCCTCAGGTGCATTTTACGACATTAACAAGTTCTATTTTATTTTTATTTGATAGGGGATTCAGATAATTCTCCTCAATATATAGTTTCTGTTGAAATTTGATTTATTGGCATGGAGGATAGCAGTAGTAAATCACAGCCTGGGTCTCCTAAAGAAAACCCAGATCATGATTCTGAGAAAAAATCAATAGTCAAGGATGATAACAACAGCACACTGGAAACAATAGTCCGTACGATCCAGGACTCAATTTCTACAGGCAAGAAACACAAATTTTGGGAAACCCAACCAGTAGGTCAATTCAAGGATGTTGGGGACTCGAGTTTGCCTGAGGGCCCTATTGAACCTCCAACCCCATTGTCTGAAGTCAAACAAGAACCTTACAATCTCCCTAGCCCATATGAATGGACCACTTGTGACATGGACTCCGAAGAGACTTGCAATGAGGTTTACAATCTCTTGAAGAACAACTATGTTGAGGATGATGAGAACATGTTTAGGTTCAATTACTCTAAGGAGTTCCTTCGGTGGGCTCTGCGCCCACCCGGCTATTATCGGAGCTGGCACATTGGTGTTCGTGCCAAAGCTTCAAAGAAGCTGGTTGCGTTTATAACTGGTGTACCTGCAAGGATTAGGGTGCGTGATGAAGTTGTGAAAATGGCCGAGATCAATTTCTTATGTGTGCATAAGAAGCTCAGATCAAAGAGACTTGCTCCTGTTATGATTAAGGAAGTTACTAGAAGGGTTCATTTGGAGAATATTTGGCAGGCGGCTTACACTGCTGGAGTGGTTCTTCCAACACCAATAACTACTTGTCAGTATTGGCATAGGTCTTTGAACCCAAAGAAGCTTATTGATGTTGGCTTCTCTAGGCTGGGGGCAAGGATGACCATGAGCAGAACAATAAAACTTTACAGGTTACCGGATTCACCTGTTACTCCTGGGTTTAGAAAAATGGAGCTTCGTGATGTACCTGCTGTTTCACGTTTGCTTAGAAACTACTTGAGCCAGTTTGTTGTTGCCCCAGATTTTGATGAGGATGATGTGGAACATTGGCTTCTTCCAACTGACAGTGTGGTTGATAGTTTCTTAGTTGAGAGCCCACAGACTCACGAGATTACTGACTTCTGCAGCTTCTACACTCTTCCATCATCCATCCTTGGCAACCAGAATTACTCGACTTTGAAAGCTGCTTATTCATATTATAATGTTGCCACTAAGACTCCACTGCTTCAGTTGATGAATGATGCGCTTATTGTTGCCAGGCAAAAGGATTTTGATGTTTTTAATGCATTAGATGTTATGGAAAATCAGTCTTTCCTGAAAGAGCTGAAATTTGGACCAGGTGATGGGCAACTTCACTATTATCTTTACAATTATCGCATACGAAATGCTTTGACACCGACAGAACTTGGGCTTGTACTCTTGTAGTTTCATACTTCTGAAGGTCCACACTGTGGTTTCTTTTTATTTAAAAGGTATGTGGGTTACATTTATTTTTAACTTTTTTCCCCCAGAGCAGCAGCATAGAATGAGATTTTTGAAGTGTATTTGAGAGAGTGGTTCTGTGGTTTTATAAAGCCTGAGATGTGGAGACAATTTTCGATTTGGTTAGCCATTCCAATTGTTATCTGATTCTTGATTTTGCTCTCTCATTTTTCCTGCATAATTCCGTGCACTTGGACAGCATGATTATTTGCTTAATTCGCTGGAATCCACTTTATTTAGACATACATGAGCTCTGTTTTTTTTTTTTTTTTTTTTTTTTTTTAGAGATGTCGGAAAGACAAATTATTTCGATTTGGTTAGCCATTCACAATTGTTAATCTGAATTCTTGATATTGACATCTCTCAATATTTTCCTGCCATAATTCGAATTGACACTTGGACAGAAAATTGATTTTTGCTTAAATTCGCTGGAATCCACTTATTTAGAACATACAATGAGCTCTGTTTTTTTTTTTTTTTTTTTTTTGGTTCTATATGTTTTAAATTTACTATAATTTTTTGGGTATTGACTACTAAATGGTTCGTGGAAATAATTTTTTTTTTTTTTTTTTTTTTTTTTGGTTCTATATGTAAATTTACTTATTTTTTGGTTTGCTTATGGTTCGTGGAATATGTGTTGATCTAAGAATCATGGCCTGTCAAGCAGTGTTCTTATTGGTTTTAACTCATAGTAGCAGATCTTAGGCCATAATCCATGAATTCCCGAGTTCATATCTTCTGGCGAGCAGGGGAGTGGAAGCTCACAAATATCCCTAGCAGCTCTCTCTCTTCTGTTGCTCTCTGCTACTGAATATTGATAGCTTTAGCCTTTAGCCTTTCATGTCAAGAAAGGAATTATGAGTTATGACTGCATTAAACGTGCATTATTAACAATGCAAATTAGTGTGGTTCTTAAGTTAAACAACTGTGCTAACATAAATTGATGTATTTGCCAACTGAGGCCTAAGAATCAGGAAGAATAAAATCAGCAAACTGAATAAATAAAGCATAACTAGTTGGCTGCTTCGAGCTTCGATCTATTCCAATCAATTGTTCCAATCTCCCAAGCCACAAAAGTTAGATTCTGTTATAAGAACGGTTGATTAGCTGAAGCTTCTGAATAGAAGAAAATCCCACAATTTTAATTTAACGAGTTTTACTTTGCCGAGGTTTGTCACTCTTAAACTTCAATTTGCAATGCAAAAATTATCTAATCAATTTAGACAGGAAAAGCACTTTTTGTGTTGCAAATTGATGTTCACGAATGATAGAATGCTATCCCGGGACGACTAATGAAAATGTGCCCCAATATCCAAATGTGAATGGCTGAAAAATAAGGGTCTCGTCTTGCAGTGAAAGAGCCAAAGTGCACATACCTATTACCACAAAGCCCATGTTCAGAAGGCAAAATCTCCGGTCTATAAAGCACCATCACTAAGCCTACTCGAAAACTTACATTACATGACAATAATTACTACAAAACAACCATTTGATTTAGCTTGATCTGACAAAAATATCAAAAGAGAAAAGGCAATATCTACATGCATGCACTCTAGTTGGAATGGTTGCCATATTTCTCATCTGGTAAGGCAAAAATCTTGCATCTTATGCCATCAGTACGATCTCACCTCGTGAACCTGTAGGGTTACAAGTAAACATTAATAGAATGGGGAAAAGCAATAGACAAAAAAAAGATCAGAATTTGAGTTTACATCTCTCTAATATCTCTTTGGCCAATTGTACAAGTGAATCTGCATCTTCAGCCAACTTGGAAACTCTCTCTGCCTCCTTAACTGCTTCAGCTGCAACAAATGATTTATTTTCTGCCTCTGCAATTCTGTATGCAGCTGCCACTGCTGCTTCTTCCACGGTATCATCAGTAGTTATGCAACCAATGCTCTGTAATTGCCTAGGCTGGATGTCTTTCTGTTTTGGGGTATGGATTTTCGTTCCTATTGAGGGACTATTCTTTATTTTGTAACAATTTTCTACCTGCATTTTAATCACAGAAAAAACCATTCAGTATGCCCTCCCAATTAGAATTCATGATTCCTTTCTACTACCTCTACAAAAATTTGTTTGCTCACTCACCCTTGTTATGTTTCTTAAACACAATGAGACAGATTTCTTTCAATTTATGGAAGGACAAGGAAGAAAACATATATCGGTCTTCTTAGCAGCAGTATTTAGCTGCAACTTTTTACTAGAAGCTACTTCTTTGTCTATTATATGTATCTTTTTCCCTTTTTTTATTTTTTTCATTTTTTGAGGGGAAGGTGGCAGTTCCTAGAACCGTTTTAACTTGAAACTGCCTAAATTGCAGTTCCCCATATAACCACATGCCACTATCTTCATTCCCCAGTCTTTTTTCCATGCAAAAATGCAGTCAGCAAGATACAGCAGAACAGAGCAAATGCAATTGGAAAAAATATAAGAGGAAAATTGATTTTGCATTTTGAACAAATATACTTAGCAGTACAACAACCAGGTATGAATATCAAAGCCAAATCAAGAATGAAGGAACATTGCAATAGTAAAATTCAGTCACCTTTTCAAGTTTTTCCTGTGCAACCAATCTTCTTAACTTTGCACTTAATTGCCTTCGAAAGTTTTGTGGTACCTCTTGCCTTTGCTGCAGGAATAAATCCAGAAAATAACACGCTTCTTATATTTATCAAACTCAGAGCACAACAAAGGACATGGAATTAAAAAGAAAAATTTAGTAAATAAGATGCAAATGCAGCAGAAGTACTAGTAAAATCTCAATATTATCAAAGGTGGCAATTATAGTGACAACTAAATACTGATAGAATGGTCACCAAGTCTAAAAAGAAAAATTGAATTAGGGTTGTTTCTTTATAATTTCATGTTTTATAATCACAACAAAAATGTCCTCAAGCCTGTCACTTCCCACAGTAACTTTTTCTGGGCTGCCTGCCTCCAAAGGGCACAGGAGTACAAGTATGAGAGGACATTTTTCACAAAGAGATTATCTAACGATAAAATTTGTGCATATGCAGGCTGAACTTGCAATTTACTAAAACAATTCCGCTTCTAGTCCAATACTTGAAGGGAACCAGGACAAAATATGATTAGCAGCCTCCATAAAGATTATATCATCATAGAACAGCATAAATTATCAAATTTGACAAACTAATGCAGCTTTTTACAATAATAACAAATAATAGCCTTCTCCATGGTACCAACACAGAAGTCAAAAAACATAATCTTTCTTCATACCTCAATGTAGCCTACAATAGCACTAGTGTCTACTCCGTGTTGCTTATTCAAAGTTGAAATTGCTTCAAAAATCATTGCATTATACCTACCAAGTCAAGTAATTTTGTCAAGTACAGCTCATTGAACAGAGAAAAAGGAGAAACAAGGGTCTCTGCTGCATTGGAATGTAATTGGGCACCAACAAAGCAATACTTCACTTGTGTAGCATAAGCACAAGTAGTGATGTGATGGAATTAAAATATAAACAGCAAGGGGAGGAGGAAATTAAGTGCATACTTCGGAGCAGATTTCCCATCCACTGTGATTTTGGAAGAATCATCAACAACGGGATCAGACTTAGTAAGAGCAACAGAAGCAGAAGTCTGTACAATGGTGAGTGGACCTGGAGAAGACACAGCAGTAGCAGGTTCCTCAGAATTCACTTTTGGTTTTTGTGTCCGTGATTTCTCCCTTAGACCTTGGCCGCCAGCACTGACACTCATATTTCTCCATTTATCCTACAAAAGCAAACAACAAAGCAGCTGAAGATTTTTCAACTTCATCATTTAAATATCACCTCCGTTTTCCAATTACAGAATCGAATTACCAATCATGGAGCTTAAAATTGCTTTTAAAATAACCAAGGAGACGTTTGATCATAAAAAGGCAAAAGCTTTTCACACCATGTTTGTCCATAATAGCTCTACCCTTTAAGACAACCCAAAGAAGATGTTTTCTTTCTGATTTTCCAAATCAAAAATTAAAACATTTAAAGATGGAGATAGAAAACCTTAAGATCGATGTTGGAACGGGCAAAGAGGAAAGGATTGAACTCTGGGTCTTTCTGGATGTTTTTCCACTTGCCAGTTCCGTGTTTGGCCACTCCTGCTCTTAGTGCTTCTTCTTCCTCCGCAGTCCATTTCTGCTTTGGATTCCCCATCTCTGTCGCTGCAACCTTCAATTGTTCCTATTGATCCTGCAGCAAGGTCCGTTCATGGCAACCTTATTCACTGTCACCAGTCACCGCCCAACCCACACGCAACGGGAACCGTTTTTCATGTGTCAGCCCTAAATTTTGCAATTGAAAACGATCACGTCGTTTACGTAAATAAAACGCACCGTTTCTCATTCTCGAGACATCTCTCACGCTAGCAGCTTTGTTGATTTGGAATTACTTTTCAAGCACTGTGCCAATCTCACCCATCCACGTGGCGTATTTTGGGATGACAGTCGTCCAAGTCATCATCGCTCCCTATCCGCAAGGGCCAAGACTCTCTGAGGAAGAGGAAAAGCTTTTCACGTTTCAGACTCCAGTTTGTACAGGGAGCTCAGACATCAAAGAACGCATGATATGGTCCTCAGTTTTTTTCTTCGCCGAAATTTTCAAACGATAGAAATGGCGTGAAACCTAAACCCATTACTTTTTTTTTTTTTTGTAGTTGTAGAAAAAAAATCTTTTTCAAGGAAAGAAAAAAAAGTCCAAAATGGAGTGTATCGGAGCTCGAAACTTCGCAGCAACGACGGTGTTTTCTTTCCCTACGGGAAGGACAAGGAGGAGAATACTGAGGACAAGTAAACATGTAGGTATTTCAGAGAAACGGAGTCGTTTGTATCAAGTGAGAGCAAGCAGTGCAGGAAGTGAAAGTTGTGTGGCCATTAAAGAAGAATACGCTGATGAGGAAGATTATATAAAGGCCGGCGGCTCCGAGCTTGTTTTTGTTGAAATGCAGCAGAATAAGGACATGGAGAAACAATCTAAACTTGCCGATAAGGTTTTCCTTCTCTCTTTGACTGTAAACTGTAAAGTTACTTTCATTTTCATTTTTTCGTTTTAATTTAAAACGACTTGGCGTTTATTTTGTTTTCTTCGTTCAAGTATTCTTCTTTTTGGCTTTTGGCTCTGTGCAGTTGCCGCCGATACCAATTGGAGATGATGTACTGGATTTGGTGGTGATTGGTTGCGGTCCAGCTGGTCTTGCTCTTGCTGCAGAATCAGCTAAGTTGGGATTAAGTGTTGGACTTATTGGTCCTGATCTTCCTTTTACTAATAATTATGGTGTGTGGGAGGATGAATTTAAAGGTAATAACTTTTTTCTCTATCTCAGTTATCACATTTGATTACACAATATCATTTATAAATGTCATGTTAAATTTTCTCTGTTCTATCTAATTTTTAAATAGAAATTTGTCTCTTTGTAACTTATATAATAATACTCTTTCCGTGTCTTTTTCTCATTTTTAAAACTTTATAATTTTGTTTGCCCCTTGCATTAGCATTAAAATCCAAGTAATTTAATTTAATTTATTTCTCAGGTCTTGGACTTGACGGATGCATTGAGCATGTATGGCAGGATACCATAGTTTATCTTGACAACGATGATCCCATTCTGATTGGCCGCGCCTATGGACGAGTAAGTAGACATTTGCTCCATGAAGAATTGTTAAGGAGGTAAGAGGGTGTGTATATAAATATTTTATATTTAATTTATCTCATTTGGTGTTGAAATGTGGGATTCTGTAGATATATAATCTATATATTAATTTCCTCTAGGTGTGTCGAGTCAGGTGTTTCATATCTTAGCTCAAAGGTGGAAAGAATTATTGAAGCTGCGAATGGTCATAGCCTTGTAGCTTGTGAGCATGATATTGTTGTTCCATGCAGGTAAAATGAGATATCCTTAGTTTAAGCTCTTCTCATAATAGTGCTTAGGAGTTAATTTTAAGTTTACATCCAAAGCCAAGTTTCTAATTTGTTATTATAGGCTTGCTACTGTTGCATCTGGGGCAGCTTCAGGGAAACTACTGCAGTATGAAGTGGGAGGTCCAAGGGTTTCTGTCCAAACGGCTTATGGAGTAGAGGTTGAGGTACAAGTTAGGATACGCTGTTCTATAAATTATATAAATTTTCAATTTTTTTACTGTGCTGAATTTTACTTTGTAGAGCTGATATTTCTTTTTTTTGTTCGCCTTCCTTTTGTCCTCTTCCCTCTATATTTAAAATTATTAAAAGGACCCTTTTTACTTTAATTGGAGATGATGCACCGATCTTTCTTGTTGTGCTTACTTTAAGATAAATTTAAACGACAGAAGAAAGCAGTTGATGTTTGCCTTTTCTTTTTTGATATTGTAGATTGTGATTGAGGCATAGCTGAAATTGAGTTCTAGCAAGTATTGGTGTTGGAATGCAAATTTGAACAATTAGTAATCCTTTTCATAGCACACAGATTGAGGACTTCAGAAATTGTAAATTGTTTAGAAATGCAATGTTAACCAGTTCTGACAATCCATTTTATTTTTAATTTTTCAATTCCAGGTGGAAAACAATCCATATGATCCTAGTCTGATGGTCTTCATGGACTACAGGGATTATATTAAACAAAAAGTTCCCTGTTTAGAGGCTGAATACCCGACATTTCTTTATGCCATGCCCATGTCACCAACTAGAGTTTTCTTTGAGGTTTGTTCAAACGTACTTATTTTGGGTATTATATGATTTTGCTTAGAACAATTTATGTCTGAAGTGTTTTTGGATCATAACTGCAGGAAACTTGTTTGGCGTCCAAAGATGCGATGCCATTTGACTTGTTAAAGAAAAAACTAATGTCAAGGTTAGAGACAATGCAAATCCGAATTCTAAAAACTTATGAAGAGGTAATCTTCATAACCAAAACTGTCAGGTCTTTAACAGCATTTCTTCTGCTAGGATGCAGCTTTTGCACAACTCATTCTTGCTTATATAATATGAATTAAGATTTAATAATATTACATTTCTTTGAGTGCATGAGACAATAGTCATTGAATCCGTCATGCAGGAATGGTCTTATATTCCGGTGGGTGGTTCCTTGCCTAATACTGAGCAAAAGAACCTTGCATTTGGTGCTGCTGCTAGCATGGTGCATCCAGCAACAGGTATGAAATGAAGAAAGATACTACTTATTTTCTTGAAGAATCTCAAATTTGAAGGAGAATATTTATATCTTGCTTTATCAAACAGGCTATTCTGTAGTGAGATCATTGTCAGAGGCTCCCAATTATGCTTCTGTAATTGCAAATATATTGAAACAGGGCCATTCCAAGAGCATGCTTACTCATAAAATAAGTAATGCAAATATCTCAATGCAAGGTATGTTAAGTGTCGGCATATCAGCAAGCACACATTATTTGTGCATTAATATTAGTAAGCATCAACATAAATATAATATGACAAATTCAACAATCAAAACATGACCTCATATTGTTTATGTATTTTGCATAACATAAATGAAGCACTTCCATTTGAATTTAATAGACTACTAGACTTCTTGGGGGCCAATCCTCAACACTACCAGTCATGGCTTCTTCTGGGACTAGATATGTACAGACTCTCTGGTCCACATTCCTCAACAAGATAGAATAAATGGCTCACTGTGATTTTACTCCCTTTATGTAATATGTAGATTCCCTTACCTTTATTTCAAGCAATTAAAGTAAGTAATTACTAGAAACCAAAAGGGAAAAAGTACTGTCAGGGGCAATGCTGTCAAACAGCATCATTTTCTTATGTTATGTTTTTGTTTTAAATATTTTACTGCTTCCCTTGCAGCAGGAAAACATTTTCTGTTCATACGTATCCCATTTATAAATGTATATTTATTGTATATTGTTCATATCTAGTCATAGGGATCGTTAATTTTCAGGATAAATGAATTGCACGTGGTGCATGTAGAAGTATGAAATACTCAAGAATTTAGGAACATGCCAATTCAAGTATGCTATTAGATTAGCTTGTGGTCATGCACAAGAACTGGAAATTTGCAGTCATACATTTGCTATTTGATGCATAATAATACAAGTAACAGTCAAGCCAAGAAAACCAAGTCCAAATGCATACAAAACAATACTGAGAACTTTGCAAAATAATTTATTGCATGTTTAAATCATAGCAATAACATCAAAATGATTGTAATTATTTATTTAGTTTATGATAAATATGTTACTTTTCTCAGCTTGGAATGCTCTTTGGCCACAAGAAAGGAAACGGCAGAGGGCCTTCTTTCTCTTTGGACTAGCACTTATACTGCAACTGGATATTGAAGGCATTAGGACATTCTTCCATACTTTTTTCCGCTTACCCAATTGGTACTGTTTATTTCTCCTTTTACCTTTATTCTTATTTCATTTATCTTTGTCTACTGCTATGCCTTCAGTGTATACCTATACATAGAAGCTCGAATTAGACAAAGGTTTGCATCTTGAAATATAAAGATGTGGCAATTATTCTGGCAAACATTATCCTTGATATGTGTAGATATTTGATATAAGTCTGGAAAAATACAATGTCATAGACTAAGTGCTTTTGACTTGGCTGTTTTCTTGATCAAGCAGTCATTGCATTCTAGAATATGATAGCTTGTGAAAAGTAAAATTACTTAGAAGTTTTATTTTGCGTCAAACTTAAAGTTAATCAAATTTAAAAAATATCTATGCCTTAAAAGCTATTCTTGAAGGCCAACTTAATAATAGCAAAAGAAACGGGAATAACAGAATTAGTAGTGGCAGCAGTACCATAATGGTTAAGTTATGATTTAGGTGCTGAAGCCTTAGATGGAACCAACATTTTTTTTGTCATAATGTTGAGATTATGCAGAATAAAATCCACTGAAAATGCTTCTGTGATTCTGATAATTTTGATAAGCATATCATGGACAACCAAGACATGCTTGCTGCGACATTCCTATCTTAACAAGTTCCTGATAAACATAATAGTTGATTATGTGTCTTTCTGCAGGATGTGGCAGGGATTCTTGGGTTCCACTCTGTCCTCAGCTGATCTCATACTATTTGCTTTCTATATGTTTGTTATTGCACCAAATGATATGAGGATGTGCCTTGTTAGGCATCTACTTTCTGATCCAACTGGAGCAACTATGATAAGAACTTACCTTACAGTGTAGTCCCCCATCTTTTCTATTTCTTCCCTCGTTTGGCTCTAAATTTTGAATTGCCAGTTTAGAAACACGAGGAATCCCCTAATAAATGTAACACTAGGTACTTGTATATACATATTTTGTTTATATAATTGTATCACTTAGCTTAAAGATAATGGCAACAATGTTGCCTATACTCCATTGCTCAACATGCATCTATGATCGTCTCTAGCAGTCATAAGAATTTGTCATTCCAATTGAACATACAATATCAGAAAAGGAAGAACTTACTTCACATCAATTAGGGCTCTAAATATGTTAAAATAGATAAATTATTCAATGTATTCTATTTATTCATTCAAAAAAATTAAAAAAAAAAGGATAACCTCGTTGGGGTCCTTGGGTATAGTGGGGGAGTAGTTCTCTACTTTATCTCATTAGAGAGACATAGAACCAGTTGCTCTAGCAAATGAATGGGCCGCTATGAACACTGTCTTACTGGATTTAAATACAAATCTTCTTGAATTTGGGCCGTGTTGTTGGGCTTGGGCCACGACGTGACTTTCCAATTAAATTGATCGAACTAGTTAAACGACAGTACTGTGACTTTGTTGTTGGCGTTTTGAAACGATGCTCAGCTTGATGGCTCCATGTTTTCTTCTTTCTTCTTTAATCTTTAGTTAATTTATATCTACTCTTTGAACTAAATTACCGTTCTGAATATGCTGAAAAGCAACTTTTCCTATTAGCTCCGCAAATTGCAAATCTCAAACCCGGTTTTAAAACGGATCGTTGGTGTTGTGATCGGCAATTTGCGGGGGACGGGAGAAAATGAGTCTTGAGTCTCGACAACAAGCAGTATTAAGCTCTCCAGATGATAAGTTTGGACATAGGAGTGGATTGAGCATTCGGTTCGACCGAACTGAACTGAGCCATCCCTTTCTTCAATACTATCTGCAGATGAAATCAAAGCATATCCCTTTCTCCTTATATGTCAGAAGCAGCACACATTTTTCGCATTTGGCTACCTTAATAATCACCGTTACTATCAAGAAATGGAAATAGAACTAAAAAAAAAAACAGAAGAATGCCTGTGAAATTGACTGTCCCTTAATTAATGTCCCTAAAAGGAAAGAACCGAACATTTTGCAAAAGATTGAGGGAAAATCAAAACTTTTCGAAGAAGGTACTGAAATCTATAAACTCAATGATTAAATCTACATACTTTTTCTTGCTGTGATTGATTAAACAGAAACACTAATTTCAGTTTTTGCACATAGGATTATCTGCGGAGGCCGGCCACTAAAGCTTCTTCATCGTGTTCAATCTGGTCAGGTATATATTTCGTTTCTGAGTTTTATTTTCTATTCTAGATATGATTACCACTATATGCGTTGGATAGGAAATTAGGTTTTAATAATGAAGTGCATTTTGAATTGCAGAGAAAAAGACATGCCTGATCTAGATGTACCACCATCTGTAATAACTACAGCTAGAGTGTTGAAACTATTAGCTTTCGGTGCAAGTGTTTCTGCAACCATTGTAATGGCCATAAGCCGCGAACAGTAACTATTTATCACCCTAACACCAACATCCAAATGGACCAAATCAAAGCAGCTTACAAGGACCTCATGTTCTTCAAGTAAGTTGCTTTCATCTTCTTCATATATGCATATATTTCTAAATCAACTAGCAGAAGCTAGTTATGTATATATGCAGGGCCTTTTTAGGAGTAAATATTGCTGCAAGCGTTCATGGGTTGTTCGTTGCTTCCTTCCTGCAAAGAGCATGCTTTGGCGATTAATCGTAATTCTAGATGTGGTAATTATATTCTTTTAAACATGAATAAAATGCTTTTATAAGTTTTACATTTTGTATGTTCAAATTACAAATAGATCTTGTTTGTTTCACCTTAGATTATGTGTGCCCTGCTTACTTCAATTGATTCAGCAGCAATGTCAGCTGCTTATCTGCACAATAATGGAGATTCTCAGGCACAATGGGCAGCAATATGTGAGTAAGTCCCTATTTACTATAGTCGCGTAATGGGAGCTATAGCTGGTGCCTTCATTGGAGTTCTGATATATCTTATCATCATTATTTATTCCATGTCTGTCATCCTCAATTCCCTTCTTGTACAGTAGATTCTGTAGTTCTCTGTCCATTATTTTATTTAGTTATAGCAATGGTGGAGGAAATCCAAAATAAGAAAATATTTATTATTTAAAAAAAAAAATTCCTTATCTATTCCAACTACAACTAAAGAATTCTCATTCTTCCTACTCTATTTTCTTCTATTTCTGTTCTCCTTCGCTTTCTAAAATAAAAAATGGAGTGGAGAATTGACACTCTATTTCCTGTTCCTTTCCAAGTATTAACCATTGATTTGGAGTTTATCAAATATGCAGTTCTACTCTTTGTTAATTATTTCAATAAACCAAATTCGATTACGCAATCAGATGGGTGAAAGCAGAACAGTGAACCCAATTCTTTTTTGGATGCAAGTGAAGAATGTTAAGATTCAAATATTTGGACAATTTTTCAAATTCGTAATTGGACTTTTTTCTTCAGTCATTGGCAAGGACAGGACCTCGTTTCATCTTCTTGTCTCCCAGTCATGAGTAGCAATATAATACAATATGCTATAATTATAATTTGAAATCTTTAGATCCATTCAGGTTTAATATTCTACTCGGTGAACAAATGTTTGAATGCAGCCCACATTTATCCTAAAATGACATTAACTCATTTCACTACAACCTTTTCCTGTTAGATATGTCATTGGACTGCATTTTTTGAAAAATATATATTTTCCCTTACTATTTTTATGTATATCTGTTTATTTTCTTTCTTTTTTATTAAAAGAAAAATAATTAACTAATTATACAGTAAGGGCGTTCATAAATGCATAATTGATTCAGATATTAATTATATATATTAACATAATATAATCGATAATTTAAAATTTTTCCCATGGTATTAGTGAAATTTATTCAATTTTAAACATAATGCAATTTAAGTTTCTTGTTTCGAAGACTTAGAAATAATAATAAATGATTTGTATCTAATTAATCTATGTGTCTAAGCAAGGCAACCAAAATATTTGGACCTCGTGTTTTAACTGTTGTGTTCTTACAGTTCGTTTCCTAAAATGGAACACCTTTTTTTCTTTATTTCTAAAAGGTCCTCGGCAAGCCTAGCTTTGAGAGGATTTTTTTTTTCTTTTTTTAAATCAAACAAGAAATTTCATCCTTAAGAGAAAATTATATACAAATATGTAGTACAAATTAATTTTATTTTTATATTTTTATATAAAAATCTAATAATAAACCCTTTATAAAAAAAAAAAAACACAATCTGCACTTTTAATAAACTTAAAATTTATATTGTAAATCTGTCTTCTAACCCACTTAATAAAATTTGGGGGAAGAAAATTACGAAAATGACGTTATATTAGGAGAATGAACTGTTAGTTTCTAGAAATGGGATCCACCAAAATTTTGAAGATCTAAGAAACAAGGAAGCAATGGAATTGAGAATTAAGACAGTGACAGAAATTAGAAAGCTTGACTGGGTTGAATAGTATGGGTTCATTGCTTAGAGTCCCTTGCTTTTTTGAAGGAGAAATAGATTTGTTTGATGAGAATTCTTTATCAAGAAAATGATAAAAAGATAACCCATTGATTATGAAAGGACTTGGAAAGTTCTTATCAAATAATTTTTTATTATCACTTTTTTTTTTTTTTTGAGTATTTGAGAAATGGAGATTTGAATATGGATTTATTACTATTTTTGTAATACACTAACCATTAGATTACGACTTAGTGTGTAATTTTTTATTATCACTAATGATAACAAATTTATTACTTTATTTGTGTACATATTGGAAAGGAGTGTTAATTATTAAATTTTTTTTTTATTAGATACTCAATCATAAAATAATTCCATTTTTAATAAATATAGATTAGTCTAAGTGAAAAAGACTAAGTTGTAAATGGAGAAAATTCCCCAAAAATTATACTTAGTCTAATGGGGTAAAAATACATGTGGTATAAATTTTTTTATTAATTAAAATTATAATAAATTATTAGAACAATATGAATTTATTTTGGTTAAGTTTACATGTTGACAAGTTAAGAGATTAATCATTTAAAATAAACAGGTCAATATATAGGTCATTTCTCATATTACTAATTTAAAAATTAATTTTTGGATGCGCATACAAAATATCTTTAATTATTAAAAATAAATTGAATCTAAAAATTTATTAATTAGTAGCATTATAGCCCGCAGTGTTATTAACTTCCGTTGATTAGATTATAATTGATAGTGTTGTTTTAGTCTTTTACAGCGTTCACACATAGGACTCGTAATATGATGGCCAAGTTCCACCAAATTCTGGGAATTATCGAATCCTACGTACTTAGATTTGATTGGACTTTTAAAAAAAAAAATAAAATTCCAGTCTCCATCAGAGTGAACAAAATTGACATTGTTCAAAAACATAACAAACCATAATTACTACCCACAAGAAAAAAGAAAGTATGATAGATCAGAAGATGAATATAATAGGCAGAAAGATGCATTATTTAAAAAAAAAATGTGGACTAATTGTTTCAGATTCTTTGTAATAATAATATGGCGGTCAAAACCGCCGTCTGAGGTTGCGTTTTTGATTCCTAATTCTAGGTAGAAAGACCCACTTTGGAATCCAGTATGATTCGTCTTCGTCGTCTTCGTCTTAGTCTTCGTCTAGAATCGAACGTGGCAAATTGTTGGTTAAGACATGAACATGGTGGCTCTAATAATCCAAAACTTGCAACATCACATACACAATATTGAAGTAATTGAGTTTTGTGCATAAGAATGAACCACTTTGAAATCTAGCGTGGGGTTGGGTCGGTAAGTTTGCCCTAGCTAGAAGTTGAAAGGGTTTCTATTTTCTATTTTTGGACCATCCTTTTTATTTTTAGTTCCGATTCAATCAACTCCAGTCCACCCATAAATAATGCAGTCAATTAGGGCGACACAGTTTGTTTCATTCATGGAACAAAGCATATGAATTTTTGATTTTTTTTTATATTGTATATTTAAAAAAAAAAAACAAAAGAAAATATTCCTACAAGTAATTTAATAATTTATTACTGACATATGAATTTAGCTATCAATAAATTAATCATATGAAGAGCGGATATATTATAAGTTCGTTAGATAAATTTATATAAAATGAAATTAACAATATTCAAAATAAATTATATGAAGTCAGCATACTAAATAGACAATAACGTAATTAATCTGATAAGTAAAAGAATTATATATATTGACTGAAATTCAAGCAATATAATAAATAATTTCTTTTAATTCATTGGAAATTTTCCGAGCAATAATATTAAGCTCTAAAAGCAGCAGACAGCAGAGAGGAGGAGATAATTAAGAATTGGTGCAAAATAGGTCAATGGGTTAGGTCAGCAACAATCCTTCTCACTGCTTCCTGGAAGGCAGATTCTTCCCATTCGTTCCCCTACAAATAAACAAAATTAGATCCATAAATCAATTCTTCTACGATCACATCACCTTTTTCTTCCCTTTTACTTTTAGACATGTCCTTTAAAAAAAAAAAAATAATGTAACCATCACTGAACATCATCCTTTTGTTATTGTCACTATTTCCTAAATTGTTTGTTTCTTTAGTAAAAGGGCATTTCCTTCTTGTTTCCTAATAGCCCAATCAATCTTTTTTGTTTTTTTTTTTTTTTTAATTTTTTTCCTTCTGAGAATGAGCAGAGAAAATCATATCCTTTATGGTGTTCTTTCCTTCTTATTTGTTCTTTTCCTTCTTATTTCCTAAGTGAGCAAAAAAGTAAATTAAGTCCTTTGGAAAAAAAGTTGCTCATCTAAGATTTAATATGTAATGCCCAACAATGCAGTTGCCATTAGAAAAAGAAAATCATACTGAAACCAAAAAACAACATAAAACTAGAAAAAATGGAGGAAACAATCAAGATAAGAGGTACCCAATCAATCTTTTTTGTTTTTTTTTTTTTTTAATTTTTTTCCTTCTGAGAATGAGCAGAGAAAATCATATCCTTTATGGTGTTCTTTCCTTCTTATTTCCTAAAGTGAGAAAAAAGTATTAGTCTTTGGAAAAAAGTTGCTCATCTAAGATTTATATGTAATGCCCAACATGCAGTTGCCAATTAGAAAAAGAATCATACTGAACAAAAAACAACATAAAACTAGAAAAAATGGAGGGAAACAATCAAATAGAGGTACCCTTTTAACATCTATCTCTCTTTCTTTCTCTTTTTCTTTTTATGCCACCATTATTAAGAAAGTAACTAACGATATATAACATATTGCACATAAAAATATTATTACTCGGAAAATGAAACTATAATATTGCACATAAAAATTGAAAAGAAAAAATCAAGAACTTGATAAGAGAGGTAAGAATAATAATAATTATAATGTTTAATTAAGGAGCTGGTTATTGCATGCTGCAATGTATGTGTATATAATTGTTGGTAGTTTAGTGCACTTACCTCAATTCTCAATCTCAAGATTACACGATTCAACAATCTTGATTCTGTTGCACTTGTGGTAGCTTCCATGGACATCAAATTCACATTTCGATCGTGTTTCAAGAATTCAAGGATCCCAATAACTATATTTGAAATATTAGCACTACCTCCTCTTACAAAAACTTGCAAGTCGATAATTCTTTCTTCTCCTTCTGGTGTTGATTCAGAAACAAGTGCAACTCGGACTTCAACTCTTTCATTTGATGACTCGCTCACTTCTTCTGTAATTTCTATGGCAGGTAGTAGCGCCTGTGCCTCTAACTGTTGGTTTCTCTGGCTAAGCTCTGCGACTTGGGCTTTCAAAGACGTTAAATACTCCCTTGTTCGAGTAAGCACTGATGCTTTGTCTTTCTATATTCAAAATAGTTCAGATATTATTTTCATGCATTAATAAATTGCTATGTAATTAATGATATATATTATTCTTATGAATTTACTAAAGAGCTGTGAGATTGAATTTAAACCCTAGTTTGGAGCCAAATTATATGTATGGATGAATTTTTCTGTTCAATGTTAGATACGTACCTTGGCTTCTGGAGGAAGAAGTTTTCTCAATGCCTCAAAGCTTTCATTAATCTTTTCGCGTCTTCTACGCTCCGATATCATATGGTGCATCTGAGAGCTAGTAGGGGTGGAGCGGCTTGCTTGCATGTGTTCCCGTCTCACAATAGTTAAGTTTCTGTAATAATTGATAGCTCTTTTAAGCAGACTTTGACTATGTAAACCTGCCAGTCTTGTTGCTGTTGTTGTGGTGGGAAGAGATCCATACTTCTTGAAAGCAGTAGCTCTTTGCCGTAAGTTAGGTGTAGAAGAAGAGGTCGAAGAGGAAGGAGAAGTTAGAACTGCAAGAATGGCTCTTGCCATTACAGCATCTTCACTTTCTTGGGTTGGTAATTGAGTGTTTCTTACCAAAGCAAACGCGTGCATGACTTGTTGGTGTGGAGTAGGACTAATTGCGCTTGGTATTGGCTGCAAAGATTGCATGGAACATTGAAGTGGGCTAGTAGCGGTGGTTTGTAGTGGCTGCAAACATTGCATGGAATATTGAAGCGGGCTAGTAGTAGTGGCTTGTATTGGCTGCAACGATCGCAAGATTACTTGCTGGATTGCAGTTGATGTGGTTGGTATTGGTTGCAACGTGGGATCTTGAGGGAGTTCTGATATGTGGGGTGTCGTCGGAATATTGAATAAAAAAGGAGAGGTTTCTGGGCTATCCATGGATAGTGATTTTAATGAGGAAGAAGAAGATGATGGTCGATTTGGATCCATCGGTTGAGAAAATTCTGCTAATGGAGATTGCTGGGGAACGTCCTCTGAAAACCAATTCCTCAATGTATCTTCCATGTTCATCTGAGAAAAAGAAATCAATTATTAAATTTCAATAATTCTTCTTCTTTCTTATGTGATTTCTTCAAACAAAAAAATTGAACTAGATACAAATTAATTAGAAAGGTGTAAAAGAAATGCTGAATACTGAATAGGTCTCTTACTTGCACTCTAGACCAGCCCATTTCAATTTCCCCACTCCGGCATCCCATGAACACTGCGGTCTGTAATTATCAAACAGAAAGAAAAAATTAAGTAATATTGACAAATTCTCCAATATATATATATATATATATATATATCTCTTACTTGCACTCTAGACAAGCCCATTTCCAGAGTTTGGTCTCACTCCCGCGCATCGCTCATGTGTCAAATAATGGCGGTCGTGTATATTGTAAAGCAACACGACAGAGGAGAGGAGAGAAGTAATAATGCTTCGCACAGTCAGAGGGAGGGAGAGTTGTATTATCATTATGTAGAGCTATGGAGGAGAGATCAGACTTAGATTAGATAGATAGATAGATAGATGAGCGATAGGATGTGAGAGGTTAATTCAGTGCGGCGGTCACAGCTGGGTAAAGTGATTGAAAAAACCTTGATCCTTTGCCCTTCCTGCAAAGAATTAAAGGACACAGTAGCAAAAGACTAGGTTAGCTATCGAATATATGAGTTAAGTTGAGTTTATATATAGTTAAAAGGTGCGGTAAGAGTAGTTATGCGGTGTCGGTTAAGGAGAGGTGTGTGTGGTAGCTGTTATGTTAGATGTCATGTCATAGATTATTACCGATAGAAATTGGGCGCTGGCACAGCAACAGAAATCGCGAGTCGTCCAATCATTAGAGACTCGGTTAATCTCTGAACGCCGTTGTTCATCTAATGTAGCACATTTCGAGGAACACCGGCTGATAATATATATATATATGTTTGTAATATATAGAGAGAGAGGGTATATAGATAGATAGATAGATAGATAGATAGATAGATAGATAGATATTAGAGGTTATTCAGTGCGGCGGTCACAGCTGGTAAAGTGATGAACAAACCTTGATCCTTGCTTCCTGCAAGAATTAAAGACACAGTAGCAAGACTAGGTTAGCTATCGAAAATATGAGTAAGTTGAGTTTATATATAGTTAAGGAGATGCATGTCATAGATTATTACCCGATAAAATTGGCGCTGCACAGCAACAGACGCCATTCTTCCAATTTCCGACTCGGTTAACTCTCTATAAGGTTGTTTATTAATGAAAGCCATTCCAGGAACACGGCTGAATATATATATATATATGTTTGTATATATAGAGAGAGAGGGAGATCAAACAAATTAAGAAGCCATTTCAATGCCTGAAACAAGAGTAGCAAAAATAAAAAATACATATGTGTATATCATACTCATTTACAATGAAGAACATTTCTCGCCGATATTCATCAAAAAGCCTCCGAGCTAAGCTTCCTGAAGAAGGACTAGCTTGGTTGTTTTCTTCATGGTAATATCCGTCCAAGAAGTATAAGCAGCTGCTGATTAATTAATTCAGCACCAAAAATAAGCAAACATATAAAATTTCATATATAGAGAGCAATTAAAAGTTAAAAACTTACCGGGTCGGTTCAGGCAAATACGACCAAAGGCAAATGTAATTGCAACCAATAGCTTCCATTAATGATCGGAGATGGCTAGCACGGTCCTCTTCGCTGATGAGCGAAAAGACGGTGTCCATGTGAAGTAGCGGGAATGGAATATTTGATTAGTATAGCATGAGAGATCCTTCCATAAATTTGATCGGATCCTTTTATCTGAGTCACTTCATTTGATTCTATCATCTCTACCTTTGATCTCCATAGATGGATGACAATTCATTATAAGACAAGTATAGTCGAAAGGGTGTTTTATATAGCTATATTTATGTTAAAACCACCATCGCCTATGCTATAATATAGGTTTGGCTACAGTTCTTTTATGGAGGATCATCAGAAGAAGGGAAAGGAGCTTGCTAGGTTTGCGGACATGGAGAGAAAGATGAGAAGTTTGAAAATTAGTAGAAGGGAATAGTAGAGAGGAGCCCACAAGTGCAGTGCAGCGGCAGCGATGGAGAAGAATTGTCTTATGAGTGAGAACTGCTTCTTGAAAAGTAGTAGTGGTGGTGGTTAGCCAGCTCGGAGAGATACAGAGATAGAGGGAGATGAAGAAAAACTTGAAAAGTAACGGTCAAAGTCCACGCTGTCGAGGGTTTGAAAATAGTCAAGAGAGGAAGGCAGAGCGTCTCTTTCCTCTTTCTTCTTTGATTTATTTGTTTTCTAGCTTCCCTCTCTCCAGTTGCTTGATTTAGCGGTTATTTATAGTTAGCTAATAAATTTGGTTTTTGGTAAAATTTAATATTAATTATAATTAAATGTAAGAGTATAATTATTTAGGTAAATATATTATTTTCTATTTTAAATTTTCTATAATAATATTTAATAATAATTATAAATAAATTGATCAGATACAAAAATTAATTTTAAAAATAATACTTTTAATAGGTTAATAGAACTCCAAATATAGCAAGTATAAGCAAATATTGACTGATTTTTCTACAACATATAGAACTAATTCCTTATGTAAACATATATAAAGGAGAATAAATATTAAAGCTTTTACACGTGAGCAATAACATTAAAAAAATTCACTTTGCTTTCCATGAAATAATATATATTCAAATTGTTCACACTTAATATAATTAAATTCAAATATTATTCCTAGAATGTCCCTATACAAGTTGAAGTTTGACCTCAATTTTTTACTATTGTGACTTTCTTTTTATTATCTTATGGTGGATAGGATCGATATTATTTTAATTTAATTTTGATTAATTAAATTTCAGCCCTGAAATTTTGATTATGTAAACGATCCATACCCAAAAAGTAACTAGGGGCCCATTTAGCCGACCAAAACAGATCAAACGGTGGCCCGAGTTATCGATAAAGCCACAAGCCCACTAACTAAACGGACCCCTAAAGCAAACCTCCTTCTCTTCGCCCCTAACATAATAATTAATATTCTTGGTTAATTAGGTTTTTGTTGAAGTATTTGTGTTTGGTTCCTTAATTGTGCGTTTCATTTTTTAAAAAATAAAAGAGAGAAAGAGAGGAATTAGAAAAAGAAAAAAAAGGAAAAAGTCCTCTTTTCTACAAATGCAGACTTATTTCTATTTAAATATAGATTAAAAAAAGCAATAAATAATGTTTGAAAAATAAATTTTATTTATATTTTTCTAAAATACAATTATATTAATTTTTTAAAATAAAATTTAAGATTTTTTATCAAATTAGTTTATTCTTTTTTAATAGTACCATTATTTATTTATTTATTTATTCAAACTACAAATTCAAAAAAGAATTTTAAAAAACTTGAAAAAGATTATTTAATTTTGGAACAAGCAGAAACAAAATTGAAATCAACAGTTCTAAAACCGTTTTGGAAGATGAATCGATTTCCGGAGAATATGCCACACGTCACTTTCTAGGAAAAATATATTTGCTTATATATATATATTATTTGACATTACAACGATTAGGGCCTACCCAAAAGTCAATTTTTAATTTTTGGTTATAGTAACTAAGTTGGAGTAAGAGGGGTTTACACTTGATCTTGATCTTGTGGTGGATCTTCAAATATAGCATCCTCTACAGCATCTTCATCGTTTGGTGGATCTTCAACTACAGCATCTTCATCGTTTGGTGGATCTTCAACTACAGCATCTTCTCCCACATCTTCATCGCGTAGTGGATCTTCAAAGACAATAACCTCTACCGCATCTTCATCGTATGGTGGATCTTCAAATACAATATCCTTTAAGGCATCTTCATCTTGCGGTGCATCTTCAAACGCAACCGCCTCCTCTTACATTTCATTTCATCTTTGGTGAAATACATCAGTAATTCCTTGAAAGATAGGAGCCTCATGCATGTCCCCTATTCGCCATGCGGCAAATTGGCTTGGTTAAGTAATCGGGATGACATTGAGCTGTTCCCACTCACCATGGATATGTGGATAGTTGTGCCACTAGACGTTAAACATATGGCTAATAGTGAACCTCTCATGCCATGGAAAGTTGTTATTCCCTTAGTCTAAACATAACCATACATTTAATATTGTGTCGAATGCACCAGTGTCCCAAGATTTGCGCATTACAGTTGTCTAGACAATTTATTGGAGCAAAGATAGAACCATATATCTCTTTCCTTCTTGAATATCCCCTGCATATATGGTAAAAATAAATCACCACTCATTTCAAGAACTACATCATCTCATTTTTCATCGATTGAAGGATCATATTGTAATTTTTCCTCAAAAACTTTCAGAGTAACTCTTTGTTGTCTTTTTGTTATATATGTTACTCTTTTTTCTGTATATGATTTATGATTTTTCGTGTTACCATAATATTGAATTTTTCATATATAAAAAAAACTGAATTGAATTGTCACAACCTAATTTTAAAATCAGGGTGAAAACCGCACACCGACTCCAATTCTTTTTCGGATATAAAAAAAAAAAAAGGAAAAGAATGATAAGATTCAAATATTTCGGCCAAAAAATTGACAATTCTTCAAATTCCTGATTGAACTTTTATTTTTAGTCATCGGAAAAGACAAGACCTTATAGCTAATTGTCCCTTGAGTAGCAATTATGGATGTGCTATAGTTAATTATAATTCAATAATCTCTAGATCCTTTCATGTTTAATATTCAACTCAATGGAAAAATGTTTGAATGGTTTGGACTACTAAAAGTAAAATGACCTTCACTCATTTCATTACAACAACCTTTGCCCTGTTAGATATGTAATTGGTTTGGACTTCATACAAAACTGCATTTGAAAAAAAAAAAATCCTTCTATTTATATTTCTTTTATATATTTCTCTTTTCTTTTCATTCGCTAAAAGAAGAATAATTTATTAACTAGACGGTATTAGGACTTCCATCGCTTGTGTATAATGAAATTAATCCCATTGATTGATTATAAAAGGACCTAGAAATTTCTTATGTAATAATTTTTTATCATCACTAATGGGTGGAGCTGATTGGTTTAGTGGAAATAGGTTAGATAGAGAAGAAAGACATTTCTAAAAAAATGAAATACATAAACATTTTTTTAAGATTCTTTTGTAATAATAATAAGATTGTACAGATTATGTCCTGCCAGTCAAAACCGTCGTCTCATGTTCTATGTAGAAAAAATAAATACCCATTCCTTTATAAGTCTTCGTTTTCATCTAATAATATTCTTGGTGGGTCTAAATTCTAAAAAATAATCCACAGATTGTAACATCCCATATTCAATATTTAGGTAATTGAGTTTTGTGCATAAAAATAAACCACTTTGAAAGCTACGTGGGGTTGGTTTGATTGGTGACCTTTACCCTTGAAAAGGCTATTTTTTTTTTCAAAGGACGTTAATGAGACCGTGATTGGGCGACACTCATTTGATTCATTCATGTACGAAAGGATATTAATGTTAGAAATTTTTGACAACATAAAATTTTCTAGAACAAAAACCGTACATTGAATAAGTAAGAGAAAAGTTGCATATTTCAAAAAATAATAATAATCCCATGACAAATTCAAATCTGTTAATTCTCATTAAAAATAAATATTTACTTAGCAAGTTAATAATCTAATAATTTATTCATTACATGAATACAGCTATCAATAAGTTAATAATGCCTTCTTCAAAAAAAAAAAAAAAAAAAAAAAAAAATGACAATCAAATCATGTTAATTCTATTAAAAATTAAATATTTACTTAGGCAAGTTAATATATCTAATAATTTATTCATTAACAATGAATACAGCTATCATAAGTTAATAATGCCTTCTCAAAAAAAAAAAAAAAAAAAAAAAAAAAAAAACAACAATGCATCTCAAAATTGGCCTTCCTTAGCTGTGAATGGCCTCCAAAAAGGATCCATACATTGCATTATGTTGTTTAGCCTGAAATAATAGAAGAAAAGTAAAAAAAAAAAAAAAAAGAAAAGAAAACCTAATTAATCTTGTTAGTAAAAGTAATTAAACTGGATATAATTAAATAAAAGAGGAATTAATAAGTAATTTCTTTTTTTTTTTAAATTCATTGAAATTTTCCAATCAGTAGTAGGAGATTATCAATTGGTGCGAACGTGTCAATGGGCCAGGTCAGCAACCACGCTTCTCACTGCTTCCTGGAAGGCAGACTCGTCCCATCCGTTCCCCTACAAATCAACAAATTAGAACCATAAATCTAATGTTTATGAATATTTTGAGTTTTATTTTTTTGGATATATCACTTTAATATCGATCCTCCGTTTATTATTATTATTTTCTAAATTTTTTATTATTCTTTAATAAAAGGGAATTGCCTAATACCCAAATCAATTCTTTAAAATAACCCTACCCAACATGCAGTGGCCAATTAGAAAAAGAGAATCCTTGCAGTTGAAGTTATAGGACAAAAACTAAGACAAAATGGACGGAAACCATCAAATATACGTACCCTTTGAACATCTCTCTCTCAGTTGTTTTAGAGATGATTAAGAACCATTGAAACAAATTTTGCTAGTTTAAACTAAGTCTTTTTAATTCAATTCAAAAAGCATGCATTCCAATACTGTTAATAAAGTAGCTAACGATAATGTTTAAAAAAAAAAAAAAAAGAAACGATAATAGTTTAAAAAAGTTTAAAAAAAAAAAAAAAAGAGTAGCAACTAACGATAACATATACCCAATATTATTACTTGGAAATTAAACTATATTGCGAGTAGAAATTTTTTTTTTTTAAACTAAAGGAAAAAACTTTGTAAGAGATATAATACTGATGTTGTTGTTGTTGTTGTTGTTTAAGGAATTGATTATTGTGTGGTCCAATAAATATATATATATAAATTGTTCATAATTAGTGCACATACCTCAATTCTCAGTCTCAAGATTACACGATTCAGTGATCTTGACTCTGTTGTGCGTGCGGTAGCTTCCACGGACATCAAATTCACATTTCGATGTTGTTTCAAGAATTCGAGAATCCGAATCACTATATTTGAAAGATTAGCACTATCTCCTCTTACAAAAATTTGCAAGTCTATAGTTCTTTCTTCTTCTGATGTTGTTTCAGAAACACGTGCAACTCGAACTTCAACTCTTTCATTTGATGACTCGCTCACTTCTTCTGTACCTTCTCTAACAGGTACTAGCACCTGTGCCTCTAACTTCTGGTTTCTCTGGATAAGCTCCGCGACTTGAACTTTCAAGGACGTTAAGTACTCACTTGTTCGATTAAGCACTGATGCTTTGTCTTTCTATATTCAAAGTCAAAACTTAATTCATAATTCAAACGTATTCATGCATTGTATCATTAAATTTCTATATAATCACCCATATATAATCACCCATATATATAATATATTATATATATATATATATATATATAATATATGAGGAATTGAAGATTGAAATTGAATTTATATATGAGATTGAGATTGAAATTGAATTTAAACCCTAGTTTGGAGCCAAATTGACCAAAGATGTATACGTATAAATGAATTCGCATGTTAAATATTAGATATATACCTTGTCCTTGGGTTCTGGAGGAAGAAGTTTTCTCAATGCTTCAAAACTTTCATTAATCTTTTCGCGCCTTCTACGTTCCGATATCTTGTGGTGTATCTGAGTGCTAGTGGGGCGGCTTGCTTGCATATGTTCACGTCTCTCTATATTTAAGTTTCTGTAATAAGTGAATGCTCTTTTAAGCATACTTTGTCTACGTAAACCTGTCAGTCTTGTTGCTGTTGTTGTGGTGGTGAGAGATACATACTTCTTGAAAGCAGTAGCTCTTTGCCGTAAGTTAAGTGTAAAAGAAGAGATGGAAGGAGAAGTTAGAACTGCGAGAATGGCTTTTGTCATGGCGGAATCTTCACTTTCTTGTGTTGGAAATTGAATGTTTCTTGCCAACGCAAACGCGTGCATAACTTGGTGTAGAGTAGCACTAGTTGCGCTCGGTATTGCTTGCAAAGACTGCAAGGAATATTGAACTGGGATAGCAGTTGTGGCTTGTATTGGGTGCAAAGATTGCAAGACTACTTGTTGTTGGATTGCAGTTGATGTGGTTGGCATTGGTTGCAGGGTGGGATCTTGAGGGGTTTCTGATATGTGGGATGTTGTCGGAATATTGAATAAAAAAGGAGACCTTTTTGGGCTATCCTTGGATAGTGATCTTAATGAGGAAGAAGAAGATGATAGTCGACTTGGATCAATCGGTTGAGAAAATTCTGTTAATGGAGATCGCTGAGGAATGTCCTCTGAAAACCAATTCCTCATTGTATTTTCCATGTTCATTATCTGTTTCTTCATGACCACTATAATTAATGTCGTAAGTCGTAACCAGAGGACAGACACAGAAAATGACAGAGAGAAGTTGATGAAAGTAACCGCATATCTCAGGTTTCAACCCACTACTGATAAGTGTGATATAACCTTAAAAAACCGACTCACAAAAATAGGATTAATTCTCATAATACAGCCCAACTAACCAAAACCAGATGAGAAAAAACCAGACGAGAACAAACAATTATACAGTTCGCATTAATTAAACCAAAGAGAAACTGAAACATCCTACAACAACCATAATCTTATCCATTGAAAGAAAAAATCATAACAGGAAGTCAGAACAAAATCCCATACTTACATTGGCATGAGAGGAAATAAAGTGGAAAAAAAGTGAGCTTCTGAAAAGAAGTAGAAAATACTAATAGGCAACAAAGTTGGCTTGGAGACAAAGCAAACCCCAAAGAAAATTCTTTAGTTCTGTGGGAAAATAAAAAGCAAATCTTCTAAAATCAAGAAAAGAAGTTAAAGAATTGGATTTGGACTGGTCAGTCTTTGATCTTGTATGGCTCTGCTTTTTCTGAAGAAGCATGGCGTTGGTGCTTTTATTTTGGAATTTTTTAGATATCAAATTTCCGTCAGACGGTTAAAATTTTCAAATTTTGGACTTTTATTTACTAAAACACCCTGCGTATGGCGGATTACTTTTATGCCCTTGAGGCTTTGATATTTTTGCCTTACTTGTTTTTGACCGTACGCTCAACCAGAATGCATGAGTCATGAACTTGTTGTGCGTGGGACATTGTCTCGTACGCACAACAGCATAATAATACTGCTACCGAGATTATTTCCAAAAGTAATATATTTTCAGAATTACATTTTACCATAGTAATTTTTTTTATACGTGTAAAATACTTGAAATGAGATGAAAATAGTAGTAGTATAAAACAAATAAAAAGATAAATTTATCAATTAATTAATTAATTAATTATAATTAGAAATTCAAAAGGATGGATGGAGAGCACTCATGGACATACGCATTTTATATTATAAAAAGTGAAAGGAAAATGAAAATGTGTCTTTTGGCCCTGGAGGAGATATAATCATAAACAAAAACTGTTGGAATTGTTTAAACTTTAAACATAAAACGCATATTCCTCGAAGTTTCTCAAGTTACTGTCGGATGCCACTGGGCCTTCAGTTTGTTATCGCTTACTTATATATATATATATATATATATATGTAAGTAGCAATTAAAAACTAAAAACATACTGGGTTGGTTGAGGCAAAAACAACCAAAGGCAAATGTAATTGCAACCAAAAGCTTCCATTAATGATCGGAGATGGCTAGCACGGTCCTCTTCGCTGATGACCGAAAAGACGGAGTCCATGTGAAGTAGCGAGAATGGAATATTTGATTAGTATAGCATGAGAGATCCTTCCATAAATTCGATCGGATACTTTTATCTGATTTATGTCATTTGATTATATCATCTCTATCTTTGATCTCCATAGATGGATGACTATTCATTATAAGACAATTATAGGTCTTAATATACAGCAAGATAGATAGCTACTACATGTATAATATATAGGTCTGGCTACAGTTCTTTGAAGGAGGATCATCAGAAGAAGGTAAAGAAGCTTGCTGGCTTGCGGACAGAGAGAGAAAGATGAGAAGTTGAAAAGTAATAGAAGTAGGGGTCGCCATATTAGGATTTTTGGAACGGTAACTGTGGGTTTAGATCCGGAGGGAACTGAAATCAGAACTGTGAGGAATCAGAATCGGTCCGAACTAAAATTGGAACCAGGAGTCTGCGGTTGGGTTCTGGTTCTAAACTTTGAGGAACCGTGAACTGAAGGTTTCAAGAACCGACTGACGGTTTTTTCAACTGGTTAGAACCGATGGTTCCACTCAGTTCCAACAATTATTTTTTATTTTTTCAAATATTTTTGTGAAATTTCCAAATTAACCCTTCTAACAACTATATAACAACTAATTTTAAGAGTATTTATGTAAAGTTGATATTTTGAATTTACTATAAGTACCTCTTTTCATTTAAAAAAATAAATTAAATTCAAGCCTTTTTCTAAAAAAAAAATTAAATTTAAGCCTTTTTCTAAAAAAAAAAAAATCAAGTCTTTTTTTTAAACAAATAAATTAAGTTAAGTCTTTTTATTAATTTTTTCTAAAAATTATTTTATAAATATTTAAATTTTAAATTTTCAAAAAAAAAAAAAACGTTTCCTAACGTTTGATATTATCATTATACGATTCACCGAAAAATCAATCGGAAAACCGGCCGGAACCGTCGATTTCGAACTGTTAAAGAACTGAAATCAGAACCATAACTGTTTAATTTCAAATCATAACCGAAATCGATAATTTTCAATTCAATTCCAATTTTAAATTTTTTAGAATCGAAACCGTCGGTTCCAAAACCGATGGACACCCCCGTGAAGAAGGGAATAATAGAGAGGAGCCACAAGTGTAGTGTAGCGGCAGCGACGGAGAAGAATGATCTTATGGGCGAGAACTGCTTCTTGAAAAGTAGTAGTAGTGGTGGTTAGCCAGCTCAGCCAGAGAGATAGGGAAAGAGAAAGAAGAACTTGAAAAGTAACGGTCAAAGTCCACGCTAGCGAGGGTTTGAAAATAGTCAAGAGAGGAAGGCAGAGTGTACCTTTCCTCTTTTTTCGTTGATTTCTTTGATTAATAATTAATAACTTTGTTCCTTTGTTTTCTGACTTTCTTATTTCTCGTTAGCCGTTGGTTTCTCTCCACTTTATATACACTACTATATAAAATTATGGTTTAATCTAATTAATTAATTAATTATATTTTATAATAAAAATAATTTATTTACTTAACTTGAGCGATATGATATGCTTAATTAGAACGCTAGGACAATAATTCATTAGCTCTAATATATTAATATGATATGTCGCTTGAAATTAATGAACGTGAGTACAAAAATTCTTAAGGAACTAATGCAATAAATTTTAATCTATAAGTCTCACATATTTGAATTTATGGTATAAATATTTATACATTATTATCTTATAAAAGGAGAGTTAAAAGCTTAAAAAATAACTATAAGCTATATTATTTAAGTCGCAATCCAATCAAATAGAAAGACTCGAAGGTGAAATATCTATTGATAATTAAAATTATATATGACATTCAACACTAATTAAATGAAGAGAATAGAATTGTATAAAGCAGAGATATGTTGTTTTTTAAATAGATAGTGTGAAATTGTAAATAAAATATGAAATATTAGAAAGTTGACTGTGCCATGTACACACTACTTCTCATAACATGTGAAAGAATTCTTTGAAGTCAAGTTTTCCATTTCCATTATTGATTTGTATAGAGAATCAATTTCCAACATTTGAAAGATCAATTTGCTCACTTTAATTTATAGTGTAAAGGCACTATCAACATGTACATGGGCTATGGGACCATTTCCATTTGCAAATAAATATATTAGGCAAACCCTTTTATTGTTTTGTACTATTTTTACATTTAAATGAATTGAAAAAGACGTTTCTATTGAGTAATTTTAATAATAATATTGAAAAATTCACTTTGTGGTCCGTGAAATATAATATTCAAATTGTTCACACTTCATATAATTGAATTCAAATATTTTTCGCACCTTGTCTCCTAATTTGAATTTGAATTGCAATTTCAATTTGGAGCTAATAGGAGATGGTGGATTAAAACGACAAGTCGCAGAAGTAATATATAACTTCTCCCTCAAAAACCTGGGAATAAGAGAAAAAACATGAGTATTAAACACTGAAACTAGAAAACGAACATAATAATTAACAAACCTACATTCTTTCATCAAATGGCTTATAAACCAAGTTCATCAATATCTGCAATTATGGAATTATATGATGATTGTCGTTTTCTGTACGCTATGAGTCGTCAGCTAGTAAGAGGAATTATGTCATTTGTTTTACATTATGAATTTATGATGCTCAATTCTAATAATCTCGTAATTATCTTTAATTTTAATTTTCATAAACATTACAAATTATTGGAAGAGCAGGCAGCAGATCAGCTAGTGGGGCCTCACTGGCGGAGAAGAAGAGCACCACAGTCGCCTCCACAACCAAACTGCGAAACGCTGTAGCCAATCCCATCACCACTCAACATAAGTATATAGTTTTAACATTTTTTTTTTTTTTGGAAAAAAAATGGAAACCCTTGTTTGTAATTTTAATTTAATGGTTACGAATTCTTTAATTTCAAAAAAGGCCCGATCATCATCTACATTTCCTCATCGCCAGGTACACATCATCGTCTCTCACCGCAATCGCAGCTCCGCAGCTATAAAATTTACTATGTTGAACTCCGCCCAAAATTTACGTAATCTATTAATCATCTTATTCTTTTTTTTTTTTTGAAAATATTCATCTTATTCTTTAAAACAGTTTAATTGTTTTTGTTTAATATGGCATGTGTATTGCTTGGTTTTTAGTTGTTAAGCAGCAAAAATTCATCATACCAAACAAATATGGTGAAAAACTTGTGGGCATATTACATGATACTGGATCTAAGGAGATTGTGGTCTTATGCCACGGCTTTCGTTGCACAAAGGTTTGCTACTCTTGTACATTTTAAGTTTCTTTGTTAAAAAGAGCACTCATGGCATAAGTAATTTACTGGCGGCGCTTGCTATCGTATTCTATCTCCAGGAAAATGAGACGATGGTGAACCTTGCTATTGAGTTAGAAAATGAAGGAATCAGTGCTTTCCGTTTTGACTTTGCTGGAAATGGGTACGTTGTCAGTTGGCTGATATATATTGATTTTCATTTTTGTATGTCACATTTATATATTGTATTGATATCCCTTTATCCATTCTTGTTGGTTTCCACAACAATACTCTGTTGGCATCTTATTGCGCATTATACGGTTGCAAATTTGGTAATTTCATCTTCAACATGTGACATTATTGATTTTGTCAAGAACTTGGAGACATATGTGATCCAAACTCGCAAGATGATGAATTTTCAGTTAACTTGCAATTTTCACTAATATTATGCTTCAATGCTGTGATCTCACATGTCTAAAACCATATGAATCACATTGCAATACCATACGACTCTGATTTGAAATTTAAATCTTTATGAAAATTTTGTCTGAAGAGACAACCTGGCCTCAGAACAGACAAATGTAATGTACATGTTAGTCTTGTTCATATGAGCATATGTTGATCTTTTTTAAGGTTATTTTCTTTCCAGGGAAAGTGAAGGTTCATTTGCATATGGCAACTATTGGAGAGAGGCTGATGATTTACGTGCTGTAATCGAACACTTCTCTGGAGCAGATCGTGTCACAAGTGTGGTTCTTGGCCATAGTAAAGGTGTATATATATCTACGGTTGCAGTAGATGCAGAAGATGTAACATAATTCTAATTTTTAATTAACAATGGAACTTCAAATGGTGTTTTTAAGAGGCTAGTTTAAAGTTCTATGCACTGTTTCTAAACCGGGGGTTGGTGGTGTTATTCCCTTTGGAATTGATGGTAAAACAATTTAGTAGTTGGTTCTAGTCATTAGGCTAGTCCATCTTGTTTTGTATTTTTGCATGTTTGTTCAGTTTGAAGGTCTGCTTTGGTAGTTTTAATTGCATGTCATTTATTTTCCCCTTGAAAGTTATTACTGAACCGCGTAAATACAGGTGGCAATGTGGTGCTCTTGTATGCTTCAAAATATCACGATATCAGTGCAGTTGTTAATATTTCTGGCCGTTATGATCTGAGTAAAGGTATTGAGGAACGATTTGGGAAGGACTTTATGGAAAAGATCAAGCAAGATGGATTCATCGATGTTAAGGACAAAACTGGTAATTCATTTTCTGGTCTGAAATGTATATGCATTCAAAAATGAAGTGATGGGGAATGGGAGAGATGGGATAGGAAAGAAGTGAAGCATGCCAATTCATCCTGTATGTGCAGACCGATTAGTCACATAAATATGCTATCTTGCTCTGCCACAAAATGGTTATGGATACTTATCTGACGTTTTCCTACTGTAGGAAGTTTTAGTTATCGTGTGACTCTGGAAAGTATGATGGATCGCCTGAATACAGATATGCATAAAGCCTGTCTTCTGATTGACAAAAAGTGCTGGTGAGCTGAAATACTAAGATTCATGTATGCTGTTCTTGCATTTTTACTGGATCGAGTTTACTACATAGTACAACTTTAATCCTAAATTCACAAGGTTGATAGAAAAAGCTAATTTGGTAGAATATGTTTTCATGTCTCATAACTTGTGACCTTAAATGTTGATTTGCAAGATAATGAGGAAGTGCTTGATATCACATGGTCTTTGTATTTACTATTTAGTTATCTACTGAAAGATTAGAACTTTCTTTTTTGGCATGTGATGTGAATGAAACACAACACACTCGAATTCTTGATGATCTTAAGGTTCCAAAGTAAGAGGAGAGAAATATTCTATTGACTTAAAATGAATTCACTATTTTCTTTCTGCCTTTTCTTTTTGCGGGCGTGGCTTGCCGTGGGGTAGGGTTAGGCTGGTGGATCCACTTAGTTTCAATACTGACCGTATGATAATGAGGGGCCGTATGTCCTTGTCAGCTAGTGGTACTACTACTGCTTATTGCCTGTGAATGTCATGTCCCGAATCTGGAAAATGATGGTATAGATACATTAAGATTTGCGATAAGAAAATAATGAAAAATTTCTCCAGTTGTAAATATGCTACTTGAAATGAATGAATTTGTTCATTTCATCATTTGATTTAAGAACAACATTTCTGTGCAAGATTATGTTTTTCCTGCCATCTTCACTTCGTTGTAATTGGCTTTTGCTATGGGAAAACATTTCATTTTTAATGTTACATGTTTTGCTTCATGGTAGTGTCAATTTCTCATCTAAGATATAAATTTCGACAATCCTTAAATTCTTATAGCTACTTCTCTCTTTAATCTATTTAACCTTACTAGTTCATGCATCAACCTGTAAAATGCATTCCTTGATAGAGAACACTTTGGTCATGCCATTGACTCAACTACTTCTCCATAAACAGGGTCCTCACTGTCCATGGATCCGCCGACAAAGTCATTCCTGTAGAAGATGCGTTTGAGTTTGCGAAGATCATACCAAATCACAAATTACACATCATAGAAGGAGCTGATCATCCATACACTGCACATCAAGCTGAGTTATCATCTGCTGTTTTGAACTTCGTAAAGGAAACCTTGCGTCCGCACAAGGGTACCCCTAACTAGATGCTTCTGCGTGTTAAGATGATCGCAACATAGTATTTGGTGGCGTTCATGTCTGGTTGTTCAAGGTGGAGCCTTCCAATAAAATTTACTGATAAATGTTTAAAAAGTTCCCCAACGCAGCATTATAATGTTTTAGCATATGCTAAGAGTCATCATGTAATGCAATAAAGGTTATGTTATAAATTGTGAAGATTATATAGCGACCGTTGATCTCACTGATAATGTATACCCACGCACTGAAACCCAATTCATGATCACTCTGGGATATTTGTTTTGTCTATGGTATAGTGCTTTCACGGCTTATCTAATTCCAAGAAGCAGACTGTGATCAAACGACATTTGTTAGTGTGCAACTTACCTTTCTAATAAAAGTTGTCATTTTAGATATGTAAATTAGTTATATGGAATTATTTTATATTTACTTCACATATGCACTGGCAGACAGACGAAAACAATAGGGAAAAAAAAAAAGAAATTATAAAGTATAAAGCAATGATGAAATCATACAATGGTTGTCGTTTTCTGCACGCTACAGTCGTCAGCTAGTAAGAGGATGTCGTTTGTTTTATATTATGATTGCACAATTTTAAATCATCTCGTATTTAAGTTCTTTAATTTTGTTTCTAATAAACACTACAAATTTTCGGAAGAGCCCAGCAGCTCAGCTAGTGAGGCATCACTGGCGGAGAAGAAGAGCACCACCACTATCGCTGCCACAACTAATCTGCAAAAAGCTGAATAGCCAATCGTATCACAAGTCACAAAAGTACATACTTCTGACATTTTTGTTTTTTGGAAAAAAATGGAGACCCTAGTTTGTAATTTCATTTCAGTGGTTACAAATTCGTTAATTTCAAAAAAGGCCCCAGCATTACCTACATTTCCTTATCGCCAGGTACGCTTCGTTCTATCTCCCCCCAGTCGGAGCTCCGCCACCACAAAATTTCCGATGTCGTACTCCGCCCAAAATTCAGGTAAATCTAATACATAAGTTACCTTCTTCTTTTAAAACTGTTTAGTTGTTTTTGTTAATAGCAGTTATGTATTGCTTGATTTAGTTGTTAAGCAGCAGAAGTTCATAATACCGAACAAATATGGTGAAAAACTTGTGGGCATTCTACATGATACTGGATCTAAGGAGATCGTATTCTTATGCCATGGCTTTCGTTCCTCAAAGGTTTGCCAAATTTTATATGTTAAGTTTCTCTCTACAATAAATTCTCTTGCCATGAGTATATTACTCGCTGCGCTTGCTTTCTTATTCTATCTTCAGGAAGATCAAACGATGGTGAACCTTGCTGTTGCATTAGAAAATGAAGGAATCAGTGCTTTCCGTTTTGACTTTGCTGGAAATGGGTAGGTTGTAAGTTCGCTGATATGGGATTTTTCATTATTTATGTCACATTTGTATAACGTACTGATAACCTGTTATCTATTCTTGTTGTGGTTTGCACAACAATTGACTCTGTTGGCATCGTATTGCACATTATACGGTTGCCAATTTGGTCATTTTCGTCTTCAACATGTGACATTATTGATTTTGTCAAGGGCTTGGAGACAAGTATGATCCAAACTTCAAATTAAGATGATGAATTTTCAGTTAGCATGCAATTTTTCCTAATATTATGGTTCAATTCTGTGATTTCACATGTCTAAAACCATATGAATTACATCTAATATATTTGACTTTAGATTTGAATTTTAAATTCTTGTAAAAATTTTGTTTGGAGAGACAACTTGGCCTTAGAATTACAGACAAATACAACATACACATCCTAAGATTTGAATTTGGAAAAGGATAAAGTTATTTATGTTAATCTTGTTCATATGACCTTATGTTGATCTTTTGCTGGGTTATCTTCTTTCCAGGGAAAGTGAAGGTTCATTTGCATATGGCAACTATTGGAGAGAGGCTGATGATTTACGTGCTGTAATCGAACACTTATCTAGGGAAGATCGTGTTGCTAGTGTGGTTCTTGGCCATAGTAAAGGTGTATATGAATCTATGCCTATAGTAGATGCAGAAGATGTAACATAATTTGAATTTTTTATTAACAATGGAACTTCAAATTGTGTTTCTCGCTAGAGGCTAGTTTAAAATTCTATGCATGATTTCCAAACAGGAGGAGGAAAACCATATTAGTTCCTATGGAATTGATGGTAAAACAATTTAATAATTGGTTCTTAAGCTAGTCTATCTTTGATTTTTTTTTTTTTTTTTTGCATGTTTTTTCTGTTTGAAAGGTCCTTTATGATAGTTTTGAGTCGCATGACATTTAATTCCCGCTTGAAAGTTATCACTGAACCACAGAAATTCAGGTGGCGATGTGGTGCTCCTTTATGCTTCGAAATATCATAACATCAGTGCAGTTGTCAATGTTTCTGGCCGTTATGATCTGAGAAAAGGTATTGAGGAACGGTTTGGCAAGGACTTCATGGAAAAAATAAAGAAAGATGGATTCATTGATGTTAAGGACAAAGCAGGTAATTCATTTTCTTGGCTGAAATGTATGTGAATTCAAAAATGAAGGGATGGGAATGGGAGAGATGGGGTCGGGAAAGAAGTGAAGTATGCAAATTCATCAATTTCATATGTGCAACCCAATTTAGTCAAATAGATATTCTCTCTTGCTCTAACAGATGATGTTTATGGATACTTGTCTGACATTTTCCTATTGTAGGAAATTTTGATTATCGTGTGACTCTGGAAAGTTTGATGGATCGCCTGAATACAGATATGCATAAAGCCTGTCTTCTGATTGATAAAGAGTGCAGGTGAGCTGAAATATTCTTCTTGCGTGTTCACTATATCAAGTTTACCACATGTTACAAATTTAGCTTACGCATCTAATTTGAGATTAAGATTCAGTTGTTGTTGTATTATTCATAAGGTTGATAGGAAAAGCTAATTTGGTAGAATATGTTTCGATGTTTCAGAATTCATGACCTGTAAATGTTGATTTGCATTATAATTAGAAAGTGGCTGTCGTCACACGATCTTCATATACAGGGTCTTCACTGTCCATGGATCGGCTGACGAAGTCATTCCTGTGGAAGATGCGTTTGAGTTTGCAAAGATCATACCAAATCACAAATTACACATCATAGAAGGAGCTAATCATTCATACACAGCACACCAAGCTGAGTTGTCATCTGCTGTTTTGAGCTTCATGAAGGAAACCTTGCAGCAGGACAAGGGTACCCCTAGCTAGGTGCTTCTGTGTTGATATGATAGCAACATAGAATCTGATGGCATTCACTTCCTGTTGTTCGAGGTGGAACCTTTCCATAAACTTAATGATAAATGTATAAAAAGATTACCGATGTAATTGATAACATTTATTGTGTTTTTAATCATCATGTAATGCAGTAAGATTATACAGCATGAAAATTTTTTTCAACCCCGAAAAGGAATCAGGAAGCCAGTGTCTCATGTACTAATTGACATTCCCAACTCATTCTTCATTAGCTTGACTATACAATTACCTTATAGTTACTGGTAATTAAAGTATGAACTGAACGATAAAATGTAGATACTGGTCTCAAGTATCGATTTTATGATGCTTTGTGAAATTGTATGAACCGAACGGTACAATGTAGATGCAAGTTAATTCTTCCAGTTATGAAAAATTAAAGCACGTGAAGATGAGCTAAATACCATCACAAGAAGTAACAAATAATACCATTGCAGGATTGTGTTATTTACAATGACCAGTCAGATTGCATTTACAACATGAATAATGCCGGTGACCCTTTACTCTGATAAAACCAGGGAAGCTGAGGTTGCAGTGTGAAGTCATGCCATAATCTCATCCATTGTTTGGAGTGGTGGAACTGTTGATTTTTTCCAACATCTAGTAAAGCATGCACAAAATCTTAAGCTGACATAAGCTGGTCTTCCTTCCTTTTGGTATGTTTTAGTTGCAATCAGAAGTATCCTCATTGCTGCTATCATACAATTCAAGAAAAGCCTCTTCCCCTTCCTGAGTCAAATAAGAGCATTTGAAATTTAATGGATAATCACTAGAATCTTTCTTTATGGAATGAATAAGGTTATCAACTTAGTGTATAGAAAAATCAATGTCCAGAAACAGAGATATTAGATATACGATGCTAAGAGGGCAACTTAGTACATTAATTCTAGCACACAAGTTTTAAAACTTCAGCTTGATAATTTTGGAGTCATTTACCTCTTCAACATCCGTGTCGGAAACAGAAGCATCATCCAATATTGAGCATACTTTTTTGTCTACATCAATCTTCTTAGCAGATTGCATTTCTTCCTGAAATTAATAAAAGAATTATAAACTTATTAATAATTTAATCAAGTTCTCTGTTAAATCAGAATATCGTCAATTTTTATTCATAAAAACAGCATCATACAAGTTCAGACTTCAGCAACTCAACTCTCTCTTGTAAGTCTGAGATGTGATGCTTCAGCGCCTGGGAAAGGAATAAATTAGATGGTGCAGCACAATACCTTACTTTGCAAAGAAAAGCATGGAGATCAAATGTAGTACATTGGTACATTACCTCACGTCTCTGAAGTTCGATTGACCTGGCTAATGCCTGCCGTTTTGTCAATAAATTTTTGGGTTTTATTACCTGAGGACGTTGATAATTCTTTCCACGATAAATAATAATCGCATAGCCCTTGGTTGTTCTATCTACAGATACTAATACCCCACTGCTCTCAGCCTCCAAAGAAATCGCAATGTGCTTGACTTTTCGAAAATTTTTTTCTTTCACAATTACCTTCACAACTTCACGATATTTCCAGTGTAAGTGCATGTTTTCAATGGTGCCATCGTAAACCCCCCTCCTCCCTGGAGCAGAAATCTCAAGCATGATTGGCTCTTAGCTTTAGAAAAATTAAATGCAATAATCAAAAAGGTTGTCTTACCTAGGAGGAGGTAGGGCTTCATGCTCAGACCAAGCTTGCGAAACAAGACCCTTTCCTCATCAGTTATGGTTTCCAAATCAGTTGGGAACTCTGCAGGTTCCAGATTTTCCTGTACTTTTGTTAAAGCTTTCTCAGCCCTTTTGAGTTTCCCTTTTGCCTAAGACAATTTAAAGTTACACAGAAATTATAAATGCATATGAAGTTCATATCATAGAATATTGATGATACTCATATAGTGTATTTCAACTTACAAGAGCTAGTTTATTCTCAAGATGCTTGACTAATGAAGCACTTTTAGCTAAAGCAGCATTTCTCAGCATTTCCTCCACATCTTTACTGCCTGATTGAATCCTCCAGTGAGAGGTTGCCGCCACAGTTTCAGCAAGAGTTCCAGCAACCAATGGGCCTTTAATAGTTTTGGAATTTGAATCAACAAAAGCCGAGGCCATATTCCGGGCTTTCTCTTCTTCATCTTGTTTAAGATATGTTAGTTTCCGCCTCTCTCTTAGTGTCTCCATTATAGCTGGTGGCAAGAAGTCATTTCCCCTGTAAAATACAATATACTCTTTGTTTCTAGAAAGTAATGTTCCTCCTGTCAACATCTGTAAGCAAGAATTGCAACTGACATTATCTGGAAAAGAAAGAAACTAATGGAAGGATTATTAAACAAAAAGAAAAAGAGATACATCTAACTGATTTCAAATGCAAAGCAGGAAAATGAATCAAAAATACAGAAATTTGCCTCATACTTGGTTTAACTAAAAGTTTTATATTATCAATCGTTGTAAATCCCAAAAGATGTACACTGGATTCATGAAGCAATATTATTTGTTGTATCTCACCTTGAGTTCTTCTGCCATTCTCTCATTACGTGTATTCTGCACACCACGTTTGATGGCTATCTTTGCAATAGCACTTCTTTCCCACAGCTTCACCATAGCTTTTGCCAGACCTTGCAGTTCTCTGCTCCTTCCTACAAAAATAAATGAATGCAAAATCTTACACAAAACACAATTTTGTGAATACGAAGTAGATTAGTTGTATCATACCTAGGGCAAAATGAGGAGGTGTTTGTCTTGCAAGCCTGCGGAAAACTGTCATCTCCTTGTTTGTTAAACAATGTCTTACCCCATAAGGGAGAAGTCTGAATGGAGCTTTATATCCAGGATCCACTGCAGGAAGCAAATCTGCATCAACAGGCAATGGCTCCCTGCCACACCAGTCTTTAAACCTAGGACCAAGCTCATCTAACAACTGATTTAGTTCATTGAAATCTGTAAGTTCTTCTTGCGATAGATCCTTTAAATGCCTTGCATAACCAGGCATAAATGATTCTGTAGTTCCATTGAAGTCTATTACTCCTACGTTATGTGTAGCATTACTTGTCACTTTTTCAGGATGCGAAAAAATATCGTTACCAGCCTCATTTTGCTTGGAATATGACTGTACACATTGAAAGTTGTAGGTCATTCCTCTGTACAACACCACTGAACTGCCTGATCTCCATATAACCAAACCTCCAGTTCTACTCTGACAGAGGAAAATAGCCAATTAGCACAAAGTGCCAGTCCAAAAGTTCAGGACATGCACAATAAAGAGTAAGAGTCGTGGAAACCACGCTTCATTTCCATTCAGGAAATGCTAACATGCTGAAACTCAATCAAGTTCAAGCAAAATAACCAAAGTCTCTATAAGCAACAAAGTGATAGACATGCTCTAATATTTAAGTAGCCACTGAAACAATTTAAATTTAACAAATGCACAAATGCTCACCTCCAATATCTCATGTGTTCTCTTCATGTTACATGAAAGTGGCCATTCAAACTTCAATTTCACCACCTCACTCAGCCTCCAATTCTCATGAATTGCATCCACCAAATCCTGGTTAATGCCTGCAGCCCCCACTTTAATCCTCTCAAACATCCTCAAAGCATTATTCCTCAGCCTCTTCAGCTCATGTTCAGGCAACATTCTCTCTGCCAACTCTGTGTTGATTCTGTTCCTCCTCCAATCTCCTTCACTAGACTCCACTTCTCTCTCCCTTTCCCATGGCAATCCATTTGAACTACTATTATCATGCTGAGAAACCTGAAGATTTCCTTTCTTATTCGAAGACAATACATCGTTGGAGTCTTTAGCTCTTGCTATTACCTTATCCCTTGTTAATTCAACTGAAACAGCATTAAATTTTACTTTTTTTCTCTCAAATTTGTGATTATAATCGACTTTCTTTCCTGAGCTTTCTACATTATCAACTACAACATGTAAAACATTATCCTCTTCCCTAACTTCATCTAAAATCCCATCAAGATTTTCTCCATCTTTAGGCTGAGAGCTTAAATGGTTTCTTTTGGGTAGTGTTCGATGAATCGAAGGAGCTGTAATTGAGCGACTTGGTACAGTATAACTCACTGGATCACGACTTACTGATGGGCTGGCATCAGTTTCTCCCTCGGACAAAACTACTCCAGAACTTTCCCGCGTATCTATTTCTTCCTCTTCATCTTGTTCTTGCTGTTGCTGATGTTTTAGTTCTTCCCATGGAAATTTCTCCCTTCTTGAAGGAATTTTGACAGACCATTTATCACGAATTTGTTCAAAGAAGCTAGGCTTGTTTTTTCTCGTGGTATTCGCAGCGCTAACTTCAATTGAGCGACCAGAACGGCAATAAGTTTCAAATTTGAAAGTTTTAAACGGAGAATGATTTTGAGTTTGGAGGGAAAGAGGGTATACACACGAATTAGAAGTGGGAAGGAAGAGCGCCATAGCAATGGCTACCGATAACAGTACTGTTGTAGGATTTTACACAAGACATCGCTTGTATGCCGATGAGTAAGAGTAACACCTCTAGCAGGCCCAAACACTTTACATGTTAGCCCATGTCTACAGAAATTGGCGTACGATAAGCCCACGATCCAGCCCATATCTTATAGTATCAATGTACCTTTAATCAAATTTGGCATTTCAAGGTGAACATACTAATTGACCCAATTTTCTTTTTTTTATAATTAGGTTCTAATGGGAGTTCAATTCACAATTTTTACCATTTGCAAGAGCATGACCTTATCAAAAGAAATTCAAGTTTGCAATTTCATAACTTTCTAGGTTACCTGCAGCAAATCAGCCTATCTTTTCCCTTAAATTTTTACCTGGCTCCCAATATATTCATTATTACCAACTTCACTTGCTTGCAACATTTTACTAAAGCTAAAGCTCATAAAACAATATTAAAAGAAATGAAGGACTTAGAAAAATGTCACTCCACACAGCTTTTACTTTACATGATTGACAATGTTTGGCACAAGAGCACAAAGAGAACCAAAAAAAAAAAAAGAAAGGTGAAAAGGGTGTTTTCAGTTATCCCATCACTAACATATTTTAGTAGAAAAACTAGACGTAGTTTATAACTTTTGATGATAAAAAAGGGCATAGCTAGTAATCTAGGAAGTGAATATAGGGAGGGCGGCTACTTGTTTACTTTTGGTGTCTCCCGGTTGCCTGCAACCTGCAAATAAAGTTGCCAACATTCTCTACTCCTTACGTGGCCCATCTTGGCCGCAAAGTTATGAATCTAATTTATTCATTATTGTTTCCTATTCTCTCGTCAATCTCATTATTGAACATCATGGTGTTATCAATTTTTCAAACTTGGATGTTCTTTTTTAATATTCTTTCAAGAGAAGGACGGATCAAAATGATGTATGGTGGACAAAGATACTACAATCATATTTTAAATTGGTTAATTATGTATCATTTGGTTTTTTTAGTTATTATATCCTACAGCTAGCCTATGGTTTTGTATTAGGATTGAAAAATTGTAGACTACCCCATAATTACTAGGGTAAGGTTCCAAATAATTAAAGAGGAGGAGCCAATTAATTATTGTTTAGCCAACTATAATGTTTCTTGATGAATGATTACTCGTAGAAGCTGTAGCCTTTTCTTTCTTTTTCTTCTTTTTTTTTTTTTTTTTTCCAGCTAAATGATCAAATGCATGTTGTTCCTTTTATCAACTTTAGTAGTTGGTTTATTCAACTTGCGGTTTAGATAAAAGGAATCGAATTAAGATTTATTTTTTTTTTTTATTTATTAAATTTGGAATTGAACCGAATTAAAATTATGAATTCGAGTAATAGCAAAAACATAGGAAGAGACCATACTCGAATTTGTTTGGATTTTACCTTTTTGGATCCAAACCGGACCCTTCACCAACACGCTAATTAGAAGATAAAAACAAATCCTGAATGATACAAAAATCTTGTTCACAGCATGATTCGTGGACCCTCCACCCAATAACACCAAATTACCCTTCCAAAATAAAATACAGCAGTAAAATCCTTTTCAGGGATTTTTCTATTACTACAATATAGTAAATTTTGTTTGTAAATTTCGTGAATCAGTGAGTTCTCGCTTCATATATATTTATTGTTAAAGGATTATGACCGTGACTCTTTCAACTGGCATCCCGTCTTCATTATCAAGGACCGTTTAATTTGATTTCGGAATTAATTATAGTTAAAGATTATCGCCCCTTTCTACAAATGCATTTAATGGGCATCTGAGCTACAATCCGTAGGTTCGATTACTTCTTCTGTTACAAAAGAAATTCCATTTCATATATATATATATACACACCAAGTATGAGGAGGAGGTAATATATTAGAATACTTTGAATTTTTTATACGAATTTTATTTTTTTATCAATTTTACTCCAATTTTGTTTTTAGTAGCACCTTCAATTACAACTAATGATAGAATTGCAAATACAAAAAGTATTTTTATTTTTTATTAAATAATAATAATAATAATGAAATTTTAAATATCCTTTGAATATCAAATTTTATTCAAATCTAATGGGAGATACATTTATATTTAAAAATATGATACTTGAGACTAATGACATTATTTAAATTTTCTGTTTTTTAATTTTTTTTATCAAAGTCACATGATGATTTAAAAAATGATGGAAATATTTTTTATTTATAATTCCATAATTAATTGATGTTGAAGATACTATTGCTAAAAAATGTTGAAATTAATTAAAATAAAAAAAATCAACAAATGGTTTAATAATATATACTAATTAAAATAAAATTATATTTATTTAATGTGTTTATAAACAATTTATTAATATTTAATTATCTGTGCACAGCGTGTGAACTTGACTGAATGCTAATTTCTGTCAACTTATAGCAACCTGTTCTTGTCTCCTTAGTATTATCCGAATATATATAGGTGGAGGTTTGAAAAAACAAAACAAAATTGTCTATTCATTATTGTCTCTATGATCATTTTCATACACCTGATAGTAATTAATGCAACCACTAATTAACCGTAATTAGACACTTGAGTAAATTAATTAATTAATTAATTGAAAATTCTCTGGCCCGGTGAAAGCATCATTTTAGGATCAAATAGAGCTTTTCTCTCTCTAAAACTTCTCCACTTGGACCCGAAATGCTTAATCCATTCTTCTTTTGTTTTGTAATATGGAAAGTATTGTTTAACCTTAATCCCAGCTTTGTCACAGAAACTTAATATTTCTTTGTTCTGATCATCGTATCTCTGCCAATCATCAAACCCGCTTGAATGCAAAAATCCCACTGTGTAGAAAACCTCCTCGTCCGGTATAACAGCTGATGTTCTATCATCCCATCTGCAAAATTTCATTGATCAATAATTAATTAATCACGATTATTGATAACCAGATAGCTTAATATAATTATAAACTTAGCAAATACACTTACTTGTTTCTGTTCATGGGGTAAACGAGGACAGGTCCTGTTGTAATATTTCGTTTAAGGACAATATCCCGAAAAACACCTGAATTGAAATCAGAAATGCTAGATTTTGGCAAAAATAAATTTAGCCATGGATGAGGAACCTCCCATAGTCCTTCTGATTGAAGCTTTAGCTCTCCATTTCTTACTCTATCTAAAAACTCAACATATCCCACATCTTTCTCTGTCTTAAATCCAGCAATGAAGCTTAATTCTCCGTACATTTGTTCGAGTTCCTACAATATTTCAAGAAGATAATATTTCAGGATTTAAATTCTAAATAAGTTAGGTATTTTTGATACATGTACTAGGTAATTATTAATTAAGTAGGAGATACAAAAGAAATATATAGAAATGGGTACCTTGGCAGCAGAATGTTGGGTGGTGGCATCGTCATAATAATATTTGGCAATTTCTAGACAGTAGATGATGCGATGTTGGATAAATAGGGACATAATTCTGGGGATATCAGAAGAAGGGAAAAAAGAGGATCTCCAATTATTTGGAGGACCCTGGTCCATTAGAAGTGAACCTTCCACATAATCTACTGCATTGCTTTGTTTTCTTCCATTTTTTGATATTAAATGTTCTTGGTCTTTCGTGAATGCTGAGAAATCGCTGTAAAGCATCCTCACCCACTTAACCTAAAAAAATAAATAAATCAATCAATCAAACCCTACACCCAACATAGTTTAAACTATATCAATTCTTTCTTTTTAAAATAATGGAGATTTTTTTTAAAAGATGTATTAACATTCGGTCTCCATGTAGTATTTAAGAAAATTTCTTACAACAGATCAATTGTAACAACTCTGGGTTTTGAATTTATGATTTTACAAGTAAAATTTGTTTGAAGATGTAATATATTTTTGAGAATTTTCTTTTTACATTATGTATAAACTAATGAAAAGCAATGTTTTTGACAAAGTATATGACAATTTTGTATTTTTATAGTAAATAAAGTTGGTAACGTACCCTCTTAGGTGCTGGCTCTATTGCTATTCTAGCTCTAGTTATGATTCCAAACTGGCCTAAGCCTCCCAAAACAGCAAAAAATAGCTCTGAATTCTTCTGGGCAGAGCAAGTCACAAGCTCTCCTCTTCCTGGTTTAAAGAAAAAAAAAAAAAAAAAAACTTCCTGGTTTAAAAGAAAAATAAAAAAAAAACAAGGTAAAATCTCCATTGAGTTAACCCTAATACTGCATGGCATGCAAAAACAAAAAGAAAAAAAAAAAAAAAAAGGTAAATCTCATTGAGTTAACCCTAAATAACTGCATGCATGCAAACAACTCTTAAAATAAAAAAATGCCAAATTTTTTTAAAAAAAAAAAAAAAAAACATGCTAACTAGAAATTAATAAAAATCCTTGACTTCCCAACACAAAAATAAAATAAAAATTTATTACGGTATGTATATATAACAAAGTAATAGACCATAACCAAATCATATATTGTGATTTCGTTGTCTTGAAAAATTGAAGTCTATATATGAAACACATCTGGCTGGTATCACCATTCACAAGAGACATTTTCTCACTGTGGGACCAAATGAACATGTTTCTAACATTAATAAATGTTTTGAAAGTGACTCTATAACACTTGTTATTAGCTTAACTACAACCGCCACCGCCAACCGCCACCCGCCACCGTCACCACCTTCCATCTTCCATATCGATAAATAATATTAATCTAATACCAAACTTTGAAAAGGAAAAAAGAAAAAAGAAATAGCACTTAAATGTAACATACCAGTGATAACATCCATTTCATAGACATTGCTGATCTGTGGACCATATCGGAAAGTTTGTCCACTAATTCCGGCATTAGACAGAGTTCCTCCGACAGTAAGATACAAGTAATCGGTCCACGACGTCGGTGCAAGCCCATGTTCGATTGTAGCTTTTAACACATCAATCCATAGTTGTTCACCTCCAACGTCTGCATAAAAACCCGAAGAAGGGCTTTTAAAGATTTCAACACCATTCTTCTCTGTATAACTCCTCAATCGCATCATATCTACTACAACTCCATTGGGAGCCATAGCTTGTCCACTAACAGAGTGGCTGCGGCCTCTGGCAGATATAGTGAAAGGAGGAGTAGAGAAATTATATGCATATGTTATTAAAGAGAGTATGTCTTGTACGGAAGATGGGTAAAGTACTGCTGCTGGTTTTTGATGGATTATGTTACCATAATCAGTAGAGGCCGATTTAATGGCCAATGGGTCAGTATGGATTCTCTCAGCAAAATCAACATTTAAGAAGAGCTTAGGAGGAAGAAAAGTTGTCCATGGCTTGGATTTTCCTGCTGTAGAAATTAAACGAGATATAAATAATATTACTATGAAATAAGCTGGAAAGGCATAATTCACAGCCATTTTTTTTCTTTGTTCTCTGTTTTAGGTTTCTTCAGAGGAAGAAAGAGAGAAAAAAAGTGTCTTTAAGTGGTGGTAGTGGTGACTGGTGATGACTGGAAATGAGGAGGAAAGGAAGATATGCATATTTATAGAGAGATTGGAGAGAGAGAGAGAGAGAGAGAGAGAGAGAGAGTTTGCATGAAAACGAAATGGAAATCTTGGTTTGCAGAGAAAAAATCTTTTGGAGTTAGGATATGAAACGACATCGTTGGGAACATGCATACTTTCTCAAAGATATATATATATATATATCAGGACAATATTTTGGATTCGTTTTCATGAGTTACTCGTGGTTGTGGTAATACTAATTTTTTTTCTTTATTAAAAAAAAAAAAAAGAACGAAAATGTCCTATTAAGTGTTTCTTGTGCATCTGTAATGATCATGAAGATGATTCCGACCCACCCACAGTTTTGGTTCATTCTTGTGGGTCTAATGCTAAGGGCCAAACCCGATTGATCTTGGACCATTGGATTTATGATACGTGATCATATATGGTCAAGATATGGTCAAGTTTAGTTATGTATCCAATTTTCTTCTTCTTCTTCTTCTTCTTCTTCTTTTCTCTCTTTTTTTTTTTTTTTTTTTCTTCTTCTTCTTCTTCTTCTTTTCTCTCTCTTTTTTTTTTTTTTTTTTTTTAATTATTTAATATAGTGTATTGGGCAGCCCTTTTTTTTTTTTTTTTTTAATTATTTCAATATATTGTATTGGCAGCCCTTCCCTATTATAGGATGAATGGTAGTCAAGATTAGGTAATCATCAAAAGGATCTTTAAGATTTTCTTTTTAGGTTTAAGAAGAATTGTCATGGATCAAGGAATTGTCTTCAACACAAGATCCATATATTTTTTTTTCCCATTTAGAATTTAGAGATTGAAGGAGACATGAGCCTGAAACTTCTTTTATCTCAAGATTTTTTATGCTCATGTGAAAGGCTACATGTAATTGGTTAAAGTCAAAAAAAGAAAAATAAAAATAAAAATTGAAACCATATAATTACATTCGGTCTATGTTGTCTCACTGAACTTTCAATTAACTTTAATTTTGCAATTAGTATGTTTCATTTATATGGATTTCCATGATTACCACTTTAGGAAATAGCTCAAACATTTTTTATATGTTCTTTATTTATTTGTCACCCTCAAGGATCGATCCCCTAATCCAAACTTTTAAGATTTGCCCTATAAAAAATTATCAACGGAAGAATCACTTGATTAATTAAGATAATGCATATGAATTAATCGAAATTATATGCTATTAACTATTAATTAATTAATTAATTAACCAACTTGCTTCCATTAAAAAAGATGTACATATAGCAAGAGAACAACATCATGCCATGCACACGAGAGAGAATAAGTTTTATATATTCATATTTTTAATTATTTGTAACAATATATAGGTACGAAAATAATTTTATTTGCAATAAGAGAATGAAGTAGATGATATAAATTTATTATATATGTTATGTAATATTGTCTTTTCATTTGTATTATAGTTTGTTATAATTATATATTTTCAAGTTCTAAGAAAATTAATTAATCAAAGAAGTTGGTGGGAAATCAATATATGTTAGATTATAGAAAATTATTATATCATTCAAAAGATAATCTTTGACCTAAAGATCTTATGGGTACAAAGACCTATCAGATAGCAGCCCTTCACCAGGGATGAATCCATTTATTTCCTAATGAAATAGTTACATTTTGAATGAAAACATTCTTGTGCTGCTCATGCATATTTAATCTATATATTTAGCGCTTGACTCTAATGAAGCTACGACAAATAAATTATAATTAATTAAATTAAACAAAAATTATAATTCTAAATTCTTTTATTCACTTAATTATATATATATATGTATATTTTACACGTACAATAACATCAATAAACTCCATGAAAACAACTAGGCATGCCTTTGCACATGCCAAAACAGTGTTAGTTAGGTCTTCACCTACCATTGTACGAATAGAGACAGAATGAGATAAGAGTCAGAAATTGAATAAAACATGCATATTTATTGGTCTACAGCTTATATAAAACCCAAAACAAATTTAAAACATGTATATAAGACCCAAAACAAAATTTAAAACATGTAATATATAATAATATATATATATATATATATATAATATATATATATATATTAATTATGTTCCTAATTTTGGAAAATATTAAATCCTAATTATTTTGTTGCATAATTTCAAAACCTATATATATATGTTCCCTAATTTTTGGAAAATATTAATCCTATATTAATTTTGTTGTCATAATTTCAAAACCTAATGGCTGCATATAAATTATTAAATTAGTGATGATGGAATTAAACATATGAATTAGGCATTTACGCTTTTGAAATATATTTATATTTCAATAGTAACGACTCGAATCCTTTACCTTGTAAATTTCGTTTCGTATAGAGATGTTTTAAAAAAAAAAAAATTATGAGCAATAAGATGATAAGTATCATAGAGGATATTGAATCACTTAAATTATATTACTTATATTTTAATTAATCAGAGATTTATAAATAATAAAATGATTTGCTTTAATTAAGTTCTCATACAAAAATTCGTATTCATTTAACAAGTGATTAAATATTTAGATATGCTGTGCTATAAATCTCAGTGAACACTAGGAAGGAAGTAGTAGGTTTAATTAAATTAGTTTTTGGCTATGATGATGAAGAACACTGGAGCAGTAAGTGAGAAAAGAGAGCAGAAAAACATGGGTAGGGACCTCGTGGGGGGACTATTCCAGTGCAAAGATACTCAAAATCTTTATGGGGATCGAAGCCAGCCCACAAGATCACGTGGTCAAGAACCACCGCCACCAGGCAGCACCACCACCATCCACCACCGCCAAGGAAAAAGTAAAATCTATGTCACGTATTGCAATTATAACCATCCATGCGTGCATGAAAAGGAAGGCATCAATCATAAGTAAAGTACACTCGACTCGCTTCACTCGCGTTATTTTTGTCCATCTCTGCCTACACTGGACTCGCTTCACTCGTGTTAATTTTGTCCATCTCTGCCTACTCTGGACTCGCGTTATTTTTGTCCATCTCTGCCTTTTCTTTTCTTTTAATTTCTTTTATTATTTATTTATTATTATTGCTATATTAGAAACAAAGCCAACGTCCTCTCAATAATTAACAATTTGTCCCAAATCGCATATATAATATGTTTTAATTTGTTCTCCCAATAAGAAGAAGACGAATTGTTTGTTCAATCTTAAGTAGAAGACACGTCCTTTTAATTTGTCTTTTTTAGAGTGATTGTTGTAAAATTTTTGGATTTTAATGCTTTTAATTTGTCTTTCTTAATCATTTCTCAAATCTAATTATCAATTTTGATTAATTAATCTGAAGTGAAACCTTAATCGATTTCGGTTCGGTTCATTATTGAACATATAGTGTAGTTATGTGTCTATTTTATTTCGAACAAATAGCACATTAAATTAAACAATTTAAACTAATGTTTCATTTATTTTATTAATTTTTCAAAACATTTGAAGCATCTTTTCAGTCAAAGTTATTTTTCAAGACTAATTAATGAAAGATTGGTTGAAAAAAAAAAGAGCAGGTTGGGTTGGCTCGGATGGAGTCCTGCCTGTACTTGGGATGATTTACAGACACTTGGCTTCAAGCATTCGTCCTATAAAATGAAACCTCCACCTCCTTCCAAGCGCGTGTCATCACCTCTTTTTTTTATTAATAAAAAAAAAAAATGTGTATATGTATATCATCAATCACAGGCCTGCTGAGCAGGAGTTTGGTTTTGTCATGTGTCTTAAAAGGGTTTATTTTTCATGTGGATCTTTGAGGTGAGGAAAAGGAAAAGTTCAGAAACTTACAATGTTAGGAGAAATCCACATGATTTGATTGATATATGAACACGTGTTAGTCTAAAACTTTCACACAAATTGATTTTTCCCTTGAATAAAGTTTTTCTATTTCGGGATTTCTCTTAAATAATATTAACTATTTTAACAGACGTGTTCTAATAAAATTCATTCAATTTTTAAAAATTATTATAAATGTTAAAAGAATAAAGTTTTGACTTTGTTTAAAAGCTAAAAGCCACGTCGTAAATCTGATAAAAGGATTAAAATGTTTTTGAAAAACTTTTTAATAATTTTGATATTGTTAATATCATTATATCAAGAATGCACTTGTAAATATAAACAGATAATGTTTGATACAGTCTGTGCCATTTAGCAAAGTTGGAAATTGGACAGGAAGCAATGGAAGTTAGGCAAGAGGAAGTCTAAATCATGAGCAAGGCAGACATGTGCATAAGATTGATGAAAAGGATGGTGATATATAAATGTGATCTCACATGATGATACGATATGATCAATCAATCAAAAAAAATTTTTTTTCAAAAGTACAGAATAGGGCTAAGAGAAGGGTTCCCTGGCCACGCAAGAAAGATGAGAATTGATACCTTGCAAGTTTATGTACTTTACTATTTCTCTTAGGTCCCCTGCAAGCTTTGCTCTTTTTATTTTTCTATCTTAGCTCTTCTGTTCTTTTCTGCTACAGTAGCTTAGGTTTTAGCCTATGGGTAATCGTACTCTTCTTTGTTCTTTTGTAACCCTTTTCAGTCCACGTATCTTCTTCTCTGATTCTCCACGTCTTAATTAAGCCTTTCAATTTTTCTTAGGGAAAAAAAATAAATTCATCCTCTTGACTTTTATTTTCTATGACTAATTATGAATTTTTAACTTATGATTTCATGGTTCCTCCCTTTAATATTGAAGTATTAATAAAATCATAAATTAAAAATCTTAAAAGTTAGCTCGATGATAGTTTAGGAACTAACGTCTTAATCAATTTGATAGTTGAAGATATGTTGTTTTGAACGGAAATATTAAAGTGTTGATAGAGTGACCAAAGCGTTAACGAAATCATAAATTAAACATGTCATAGTTAATTTTTGAACAGAAATTCTATGTCTTAATTTGACTTTTTTTTCCTTTTTATTTTCTCATAATAAAAGAACTCCAATTATAAGAAATAATTTCTTTTTATTTAAGTCAATTAAAAATATTTCAATCAGCATAAGGGAACTGTATTTTTAAACGAATTTTGTCAATATTAAATAGATTTTTTACTTGTTAAAATATAATTTAATTGTCAAATGTGTAAATATATAAATTTGTTTTTGGATAAAGTGAATTTCCATCGCGACAAAGTGACTTTGATACTGTATTCACAGCTATGGGACTTTCCTGCATGATAGGATATAAACAATAACAAAATCTAAGAAAATCTGTGTTAATAGACATATCTTAACATGGGTGACAGCTAAAATGTACGTACTACAACATTGAGAAAGGGAATCAGGAAAATCACAGAGCTTGGCCAAGAGTCTCCAAACAAGTGGTCTCCCAATTAATTGTCATGCTCTTGCATAAATTATTTCTTTCTTGGAGATGTTTTCTTTCTCATATTTCAAAGCATATTCAATTTCCCAATGTCAAAATAACAATGGCATCCAGCTAGCTAAATGCCTCCTGAATATACTCATAGATCTTGTTTGTCATTTAATCGAAATTTCCTGTTTGGCAGGGAAACTATAATTAACAATAAGTGAAAAAGACTAGCTATTTAAACGACACGGTATTGGATTTATTGGAGGCAGGTGTCTTGATCAATGAGATCATGATCCATGTTTGGCTAGGCATTAGCAGAAACCAAATTGAAGAACAAAATAAATTATTGGACATGTACAGCTTTGAATGAGCTTGGCTTTACTCCTTTTTGCTCTTTTTATTTTACTGTTAACAACACAAACGTACACTCGTTTGGCTTGGTTGTTTTGTGATACTTCTGCACAACACCCCCCCCCCCCCCCCCTTTGCTCTTTTATTTTACTGTTAACAACACAAACGTAACACTCGTTTGGCCTTGGGTTGTTTGTGTGATTACTTCTGCCCCCCCCCCCCCCCTCCGGACAATCTTGTCATTTCAGCACCCATATAAACAAACAAAATCTATTTTCATACAGGCCCTTGTTTGCCATTTTACCAGACAATTAACCGTATGCTTGATTTCTTTTGTCATATCCACCAAACCCTTTCCCCCCCACTTTTTTTTATCTAATTGGGCATATATTAATAAGAATGGTTTTTTTTTTCTTAATTCAAGAATTTTTAAAAATAATTATTAATGAAAAACCATGTGAAAGCGTTGACAAGATGGACCATGCGTGGAAAATGATAATCAGAATGGGAAGACTCTATGAAATCTAGACATGGTCCAAGTAACAGAGAAAGGGAGAGGAAGGAACCATAAATGGGGACAGAAGAAGAATAAAATGGGTACAAGTTGGATGTGAACGCAAATTAAGTAAGAAAAGGCTGTATTAACCATCTCAAAAGAGGAGGAATTAAAAAGAAAAACACATTCACACAAGAAATTAAGGAGATCAGAGATAAGAAAACAGATGAAATAATGAGGAAATGTGCATTGAGTAATCAAGACAGTGCTGTTTGGAGATTCTGACGACGATGATCATAGGTGGATGACAATCACCTCTTCAAGGATTGCCAAATTGACTATCATCATCCCAATTTCCCGCCCTTTTCTCTGTTGTATAAACCATATAAATTATATCTTAACCCATTGCAAATTTCATTTCTGATCAAGATTCAATATTGTTTTCCCCTATCAAGAATGACTGAATGGCAAGACACATCTGCGTAGTTAATAATTTTTCAAGATTAGAAACTCATAACCATCGACCCCTACAACTAAAATTTTGAGTCCTTTTTCACGTGTCAGTATCAAACTGTCCGCGTGACTGCCTGCTAGGCTGATGCTATTATTATTTTCTTTTTTTTTTTTTCCTATTTTCTGCATTAATGTTTTATAACATAGAAGTACAGTGGTTCAGAAGGGATACATTATCGTCCATCTACTAATATGCGCGTCATGCCCTCGCAAGTCTAACCTTTTCGTTCTGTATTATCATAATTATTGTAATTATTACTCTAGCTAGGTGAATCTAAATCAAGGCAGACATTACTGGGGAAAACAAGTTCATTGTCCGTACTCACTGTACAAAATGAGGTCACCGACAGAGAGCAAGTAGAAACAGAATAAGATTCACCTATGGAATCTAAGATATCATTCATAAGATCAAACAAAATTACTAGCAGCATCAATATCTAGAATAAATACTAGGATTTGGTCAAATATTTGGTATGGTTGTTTTATTAAATGAGACAAATCATATTCACGGCAGTAGTTGATAGAAGCTACGCTCAAAAGCATTGGACGATTCTTCTTCTTCATTTTGTTTTTTTTTTTTTTAAATCCGGTACTATATCAAGCCTCAATGTAAATTGCAATTTAAATAGAACCAGTATAGTAATGCCAAGTATAACAGCACTTGCTTGCGATTCATTTGATAGCATGTCATTTGAACTCAAACCAAGTCCAAACTTAAGATTAAACATCCAAACTCATAATTAAAATTTGCTTATCAACCAATTAACTAATCAAAATTATAACATTTTGATATAATTTTTCCGTCTAATAATAACATTACATATTAATAGCTATTTTATATACTAAAAATCTATATTATATTTAGTTAGCTTTCATTTCATACTAATATATTTTATAAAATTTACAAAATAATAATTATTTTATTTTTTTTATTTTATTTTATTTTTCTCAAGTTGTTCACAAGCTTTGAATCAAACAAATAGACACATCAAGCTTATTTGTAAAAAATAATTAAGACCGTTATCAAATTAGTTTCAGTCATACGTTTATCGAGTTAAATTCAACCAAAGTTTAAGTAACTTGAATTGTTTCACAAACCTAAATAGAACGTTCATTCTTGTTGGCAAATTCAAAAACATGAGCATCCTCACTGCCCATAGAAGCATAAATTTCCTAGGAGCAGCTAGATCACTTGTATAAACTAGAAGTAATGTACCATGAAAAGACCGTTGCTTAAAAAATTCAATTCATCAGCTTTAAAAATAAAAATTTAAAAAAACAAAAAAGCAAACAGCACAGAAAACTGCCCTGTACAACTTGCACCCATTAGTTTTGAAGACTTTCTACTTTCAGAAATTAGGAAAACAAGAGATCTTATAGAGTAACAAAATATTTCATTAGTGATTAAATTCTGCTCTCTAGTCCCTTTACCTTGAGATTACATTGAGGTCAGACGATGCCATGCTAAGAGGAAGACACCACACCCCAATATCCATTTGTATAATTGTACCTATAATTCAGAATCAAGTTGCTGGGACTTTTTTACCATCTTCAATAAAATAAATTGCAGTTTCTGGGACCTGCAAAAAGGAAAATTTACAAAGAAAATGTCTTAGCTAATTTTAATATAATTATAAAATAATACTAAGAGAGGACGTTTTCAAGAACTATAACATTGTGTGTAAACCTGGCCAGTTCACATCGAACCAGCAGTTCTAGGCCTGCTGGTTCCAGCGAGCTGTTGGGCCCATTTCAGCCCCTTTTTTAACCAAAACCGCTGGTTGAACTGGTAGTTCCTATGGGGCTGGAAGCGAAACCGCACGGCCCTCTCAGTTCTGGTCCTGTTCAAAACCAGAACTTCGAGGCAGGTTCCTATACAGTCTGTTGTTGGGCTGGTTCTGATCCAGTTCTAATCTGTACCAGACTGTGGCCGCCCTTAGATGTGTTTATCACAAATTGTACGAGTCATGACTTAATGGAGGGTGGAAAAAAAAAATAAATCAAAACCTGCATAATCAAACATCTAAAAACTACAGTAGCATAGAAAATGTGAAGACTACAGCACACCAAAAAGTGAGGGCCAAACTTTGACTCTTTAAGTCTGTATTGTGCTTGAAACTTTGACTCTATATAAGTAGGTCTTGCCCATGGGAAGTCTGAAGACTGCCTCTATTTTTCCTCTCTACTTTACTACAACTGTTCAACAGAGGAGTTATGACTCCGTGAAGTTTAGACCCTCAAGACCTTTAACCTTTCCATAGACAAATCTTTGACTTAAACAGAAACAGAGAATGAGACAAGTCTGTGTCGTGTTTTCCTAGCTGATAAGGAACGTTTTAGATATTCCAGCGAATGAAACAATGACCATCCTCTTAATCCCAAACCTCCCAATATAAATATATAAATAACAGCAAAATTCTAAATTTTATAACTGCATGTGTCTAAATGTCTACTTTTCTAGTGTTTATCTCATTAGTTCCTAGGTATGTCAAAGGGAGTAAATCTTATCAAGAATCAAAATTACGAGAACTAAAATATAGTCTGCATGGAAAACATTGGCTGCAATTAGTGTCTTTCATATCCATTCAATCTCCTCAAAGAAGAAGTTCCTTTTATAAAATGGCATGCCCAGCCAAAATGTGAAGTAGCCAAGGGAAATCACAGTTAGGTTAGTAAAGATATGAATACAACCAAGGAGAGCGGCCTAACAGGCTAACACAAAATTTATGAAGGAGAGTATGATGAATATCTTACATCAGGCCAGGTATCTGTAATGAAGTCCACAATATCATAGGCTATGTCTCCTTGCACATCAATCTGCTCCTTCTCAGTTGGACCCTGAACCATCAGAAAGCATACAACATGAGCAATGAAACAATAAAAGAAACACATACCCCCAATAAACATTACATACCTTAACAACAGAGGCTCCAGTAGCAAACTTTTTCCCAAGTTTCTTTGATGCATCACTAAGTTTAACACCTAAACCACCATTGCCATGAGAGAGGAAATGTGTGTTGAGGGGGCTAACAACAAGAAAACAAATGACAAGAAAAGGATTGAAGCAGCAAAAATTGCTCACCAAACAGGTCCAGCCCTTTCACAGTGGTGATACATTTCCTCTTGTTACGTGTGACTTTTTCAATAACAACTTCTTGCTTCTCCTGAAAGAACAGATTCAATGCAGAAATCAATTATACTAATATCGATTACAATGTTTAAAAATACCAAAAATCGTTAACTGCAGATTTTCAATAATTTGAAAAGGGGAAACATTCTGAATTCTTACTTTCTTCTTTATCTTCCCACCAGGAAGACGTTTCACTTCTTCCTCTTTAGAAGCAGAAGTACTCCCTGCAGCCACAGACACCAGAGTATCATAGTTACATATAAGTCACAAAACTCAGATATCAATTAAAACTTAATAACAACAACAGCAACTAAGCCTTAGTCCCAAACTAGTTGGGGTCGGCTATATGAATCCTTTGCCACCATTTACATTCTGTTGAATAATAGCAAGAAGTAAGCAAAGCATAAAATAGGTAAAAAAAGGATTTTGAAAAAGAACTACCTAATAACAGAACCACAAAAATTTGAAATAAAAATTGACAGCAGAGTAAACTCTTTAACCAATTAAATTCTTGAACCACACATAACTCATTAACTGATTAACAATCACAGCCATGCTCTTTATGTATGATAGCAAAAAGGAAAACATGTGGCAACAGTTGTAAATCAGATTCATGTTTGATCGAATTTGGATTCCATGCTTCACAAGGAGCAATCTTCTTTTTTCACACAGTCTCTCTCTTGAGAGTTAGCACCAAACTAATATTTGTGCTTCCCTTCATTTTCAGCCAGTAGAACATTCCCTAATTTTACTGTTTGTGCCTAAATGCCAAAATCAAACGCTATCAACACATTACTTCGACTAAACTAGCCTAAATGAGTCACAATGAACTGATAAATATTATTTGTATTACCATTTCATCTTTCTTCACTATTCCAATAATTAGATACAGATAAATAAAATCCATTCCAAGAATCAGTTTGAATAGTTAAACACCTAAAAGCTCATATATAAGTATCTAAACATGTATTGCATAGACCAAAGTAGGTCACCTGAAGGAGTAGCAGCAGCACCGCCCGATGAGATACCAGTGGATTGTAACTGGTCGGCAACCTTATCAGCTTCTTTGGCATTTGCCTCTGCAGGAATAATAAAAAAATTAATTAAAATTATTTATCTAATAAGGAAATAGAAAAAGAGAAATTAAAAGGTGATTTAGGGATAGGGAATAGGGCAACCTTTGATGAGATCGGGGTACAGGTCAGGGGCGTTTTGGATCAACCAGGGCTTGCATTTCGCGAAATCGGGGCCGAATTCGCAGTACTCTGCGGGTAAACTGCAAACTGAGCAATACAGAACGCGGACAGGTTGGGGCTTCTCCGCCATTAGAGCTCAACCACCGGAATCTCTCTCTTTGTGGGTGGAGTGTATATACTAGGAAACGCGGCGTTTCGACAACGCAATTCTTGAAGACACTTGTTATTCCAGTCTTAAATCGAAAAACGAAGTATTTATTTATTTATTTTCTGTTTTTTTCTTTTAAAATCTTCTTCTACAAAAACGCAGCTGGTAAGCGAGTTTCGCGAAGAATTATTGCTTCCGTGCGGGAAGCTTTCACTTCACACGCGCTTCAGTTTTCATATCAAAATTTATTTTAAAAAAAAAAATCAGCGAGACAGTGATTCCAATCGAAGTAACAATCAAATGCAGCTAACCTTCAATTTCAATCCAATTTTTAAATAGTTGTAATTTTACTTTAAATTGATCTTTATATTATGAACATTCTGAATTTATTAACTTAGTTGTAATTATAGTATAATTTAATTTTAAGGTGTAATTACAACACAATAAATTTGCCAATTTATTGCAATTACACTTTATAAGTAAACTAAGATTGGAATTTGATTAAAATAATTTAAAAAAATAGACTCCATACCCAAATATTTAAATAATAAATAATAAAATCAAATTTAAATATTCATATAATAAATAAAAAAAATCAAGATTGAGCATTTATTTTAAAATTGAACCAATTTTAAGATACAAAAATAATGAGTTGGATATTAATTCAAATTAGGGTATAATTACAACTAAATTGATAAGTTCAGAGTGCTCATAATGCAAAAATCGATTTAGAGTGATGTTGCAACTATTTAAAAAGTTCAAAGTGAAATTAAAGGTTAAACTATCAAATATTTGTCTTGAATTTTAAATAAAAATACAAACTACAAAATAACAACTACAAAAATAACAATCAGTAAAATCTTAAACGGGTTAGGACACAGCGCAATAGCTTATTGCTAAGTGCATGTAAAATATATTTCAATTCGAATAAAATTGGAATGAATAGTTGAAAATTTGTCTTACAAGTTTTACTTTCAACTTTATAAGGAAACTAATTTTCAAAAAAATGGAAGTTTTGTCAAACTATGTAATATCTAACCCCGTTAAAATTTAGATATAAAAAATCTTCTAAAACACATCCAATATTTTAATATCCGATTATTTAATTGCTTAAATTTCTATATAAAAAAATGACGCATCAAATCTTTTATTTCTGTGTCAATCTATTATTATTAGTATAAATTTAAATTTTCTCAGGTCAGGATACAAGTAAAATGAAGAAAGACAATGTGAGCACAGGAATTTCTCAGGCTTGTGCCTCTTGTAGGCACCAAAGGAAAAGATGCAATGACAGTTGTGAATTAGCTCCGTATTTTTCTGCCAATAGATATGCTGAATTCCAAAATGCTCACAAGCTATTTGGCGTGAGCAACATTTTGAAAATCCTGAATTCGGTGCAGCCACAGCACAGAAAAGCAGCTGCTGAGTCGATCTTGATAGAAAGTAATGGCGAGGCATAATGACCCTGTCCATGGCTGCCTAGGCATTGTCCATAACCTCAAGTCTCAAATACAGTTTTAATTAGAAGCAACTCTGTGCTGTTAATCCACTACTAATGTTTTTTCGACGGCGAGAACAAGATCAGCGGCCAGAGACGCCAATCTCTTCTTTATTGACATTGTCGCCGTTGCAGCCTCAACTTGATGCTTCTGATTCTAAGGTGTGTTTCCAAGATTTTGTATTTTATAATGATATTGTCAAATTAAATACTCTTAAAATTATATGGCAAAACAATAATTTCTGAAAAGATGGAGTATTAGAACCTGAATTGCTGAATCTTTTAAATTATAAATCAAGCATTTGAGCATAAACTTAACAATGAAAGGTGAGTATATACAATATTTTTACGCTTTAATTTTGTAATTTTTTCCTAAAATGGATACAATCGTCAGCCAACGTAGAAGAAAGAAGGTGTAATTTTGTCCATGGGCCAAGTGATGGAATCCTATCAGGAAGAACATGCTCTTGCAAAGAGCAAGGAACCACCTGGAGAACACTGGTAAACAACTACTACCCTTCTCTTTTCAGAGGCAGACGACAATGGAAAAATATATAACATTTTGTTTTAAGAGTTATTTGAAGGGAAATGGGTCAAAGTTAATAAGATTATTTCACAATTAAGAGCAGAGACCAGAGAGTGTGTGGCTGAAGCTGGCCCATTTAGAGAACGTTAAAACAGTTGTGGAAGATTACAGTAGTAACAGCACATGAAATAACTGGAATGTCTGAGTAGGTCCTTTAGAGTGCGAGATTAGCGTGATAACCCACTACACCACCACCCAGACCTCTTGTTGTTCGCCCGTGAAATGTCTAAATTGGGAAAATTATTATTTCGTCCCTGAGATTTTACATAATTATTTAAGTAGTCTTCGATATTTATATATATATTTATAACATCCGTGAGGTTTGCCACCGTCATATTAATTGGTCTTTCCGTAAAAAAAATATACTTTTTCCGTTAATTTTGAGAAGAAAAGACGAAATTATCCTTTGAAAAAATAATTATTTCATCCCTGAAGTTTGCCATAATTATTAAGTAGTCCCCGACATTTATATAAATATTTATAACGTCCCTGAGGTTAGTTGGGGTGGGGTAGATAACCCAAGTAGTATAACAGTCCACCATGGAAAATATAACCTGGAATGTCTGGAGTAGGTCCTTTAGAGTGCGAGGATTTAGGCGTTGGATTAACCACTACCCCCACCCACCAACAAGACCTCTTTTCGCCCTTAGGCTAGGAAATGTCTCAAATTGGGAAAAATCTATTTAAATTCGTTTACCTGAAGATTACATATATTAAGTAGGTCTTTCGATTATTACATAAAGATATTATTTAATTTAAACATTCCGTGAGGTTGCACCCGTCTCATATTTAATTTTTGGTCCTTTCCGTTAAAAAAAAATATACTTTCCACGTTAATTTTGCAGAAGAAAAGGACGAAATATCCTTTTGAAAAAAATAATTATTTCATCCCTGAAGTTGCCATAATTTATTAAGTAGTCGCCCGACATTTATTAAAATATTTATTAACGTCCCTGAAGGTTTACTTTCGATTTATATAAATATTTATAACGTCCCTGAGGTTTACTTTCGTCATATTAATTGGTCCTTCCATAAAAAAAATACACTTTTTCCTTTAATTTTGAGTGGAAAATATGAAACTATCCTTTATAAGTTTTCATTGACATTATTAATATCTTTCCTCTAAAATACCTAAAACTCACATTTTCACCATCTTTCTCAACCCAACGCGGTCTTTATTGCCACCAACGTGTCAATGAAAACTATCATCTCCATAACCAGATCACCACCAAAACTAAAATCCAACATCCGAACTCAATCGAGCCATTATCACCCTTCATCCATTTATCTCTCTCTCTCCTTGATTAGAGGATTTAGATTAGTTTGGTCATTCTATTAAAAATTAACACCAAAAAGTGTGTTTTTTGGACGGAAGAACTAAGTAATATGACGAAAATAACCTCAGAGACGTTATAAATATTTTCCCTTTTAGTTTTGTTGGTGATCTGCTTATGGAGATGATACTTGACAGAGACACAGTGGTGGCAATGAAGACCGCATTGGGTTGAGAAAGATGTTGAAAATTTGAGTTTCAGGTATTTTAGAGGAAAGTGATTGACAATAATGTCAATGAAAATTTATAAAGGATAATTTCATCTTTTTCGCTCAAAATTAACGGAAAAAGTGTATTTTATTGAAAAATTTAATAAAGGGCATAATTCATCTTTTCGCTTACAAAAATTAACGCGAAAAAGGGTGTTATTTTTTTATTAGAATGACCAATATAATTCATGACGAAAGTAAAAAACCTCAGCGGTAATTTTTATTTTAGGTATTTTAGAGGAAAGTGATTGACAATAATGTCAATGAAAATTTATAAAGGATAATTTCATCTTTTTCGCTCAAAATTAACGGAAAAAGTGTATTTTTTTTATAGAATGACCAATTAATATGACGGAAGTAAACCTCAGGGATTTATAAATATTTGTATAAATGTTGGGGACTATTTAATAATTATGGAAAACCTCAGGAACGAAATAATTATTTTTCCAAAGGATAATTTCGTTTTTTCCTCTCAAAATTAACGGAAAAAGTATATTTTTTTTTACAGAATGACCAATTAATATGACGGTAGTAAATATCAGAAATGTTATAAATATATATATAAATATCCAGTCAGGAACGAAATAATAATATTCCCGTTCTATGTTCTTTATGTTAACTTTAATTTTCAGATGTGACGCGACCAGTACTGTACTGTCCAGGTATCATCTTGTCTATGGAAGATGAATAGCGTTAATGCTGCGAGAGTTCATTGATTGCTGGATTTTGAATTTGAAGATTTGAAAGCACATCGTTATCGAATCTGGTGATTTCGGTTAGAATGTTTTAAAATTTTCTCCAATGAATTACATCCTGAAAACCTCAACTCCTTTTATTATTACACATGAAATAGAAATCTATTCTTGATCAATTAGACTCATTTTTCACATTCAATTACAAAATATATAAAATATTAAATTTTTTTCTTTGAACTGATATAAAATAGGAATAAAAAGTAAAATTCTTCTGGAAATGCAATCTACACCAGTGAATCCGACTTCTCGTTGGTTTACTTACCATGTTAAACCCCTTTTTCTTTAATATAAATCTATCCATTTTATTTAGTAAATGAAAATCACTTAAACAGACACTAAAGGATTGTAAATCGTGAAAAAAGTTCTAATCATGATCCATGGAATCATACATTGTAGACAGATATGCCAATTGCCAAAGGAACTGACCTTACTGTTATAAATTATAAGAAGATGGTAAAAGTGAAAGATGAGCAACTAAGTCCTAGGTCCAAAAATTCAAATGAAAAGGACAGTAGAGTTGAAAAACGAACACAATTTATTTTGATTCCACCCGATAAATTACCTAACCATCGAAGATGAATATCATTGTCAATATGACTTTAGGCTACGCCAATAGACAGCGTAGCTTTATAGTACAAAAAATAAACATACAGTAAATTCAATAAAACCAATTGGCGCAAGTAAATATTTTTTTTTATTGGAAGAAAAATAATAAAGTGTGGTAATTTTTTCAAATGACAATTAATTATTGGTTTGCCATATGATACAGTAGAAATATATATTTGATCCTATATTTTTATATCAGGCCGGAAATTCCCAGGCCCATGAAGACTTTTATGCACAGGTAAATTCACGTGGTCTTGATTGCACTGTCCTTTTTCCTTTTTTTTTTTTTTTTTTTTTTTTTTTAATTCATTCGTGGTCTTTGATTGTCACTGGTCCTTGTTTGTCCTTTATTTTTTTTTTTTTTTTTTTTTTTTTTTTGTCGTGAGAAATATTAGATTAGCTGGCTAATAATGTTTTTTTAGAGTAATGGGAACAATTACTTGTATAGCAGTGTAACTAATCTCAATATTTTTTTTATTTTAGTATTCTAATTTCAATATTTTCTAATTAATATTAACACGAGTTACTAATCATTTTTAGTTTCCTAGTACCCACGTGACATGCCGGCGCAAGTTGATTATTATGGCCTTCAAATTAGAACCCAACTTTTATAACAATCAGTCCACACAAATACAACCCTTGACCATCTTATTGACGAGCCTAATAAAGACAATAGCAAATAAACAAAATATCGGAAATATCCTCGTCATCAGCAAAAGCAAAGGCCAGAAAAAAAAAAAAAACTGAAATCATTTCAGTCATTCCAGTTTCATCTTTCGGTGCACTGCTCTTCGTCACATCCAACAGCGACACACATGTAAGCCTTTTGCTTCTGCGTTCTTCCATTCCGATCCTATCAGCGTCTTCGTTCTTGAAGAAACAACAGTACAGGCCCAGCAAGTAAACAAAGCTAGCTGAGAAATATAAACAGAAAGTGGGTGGTTTGTACAAAATTTATCCTCTTTTTTTTTTTTAATTATTATTTGCCTCTTAGCATGTCTCTGTAACGCAGAAGAGAGTCCAGCCTCTGCAACTTTAATTGCTGCTTAAACCTGTTGATGAAGTCGTCAGCTTTCGCATCAACCGCTTCGTCTACAAACGGCATCTTTTTCTCCAAACTTGTCGTTGCAGGCCTCCTCCGCTCCACGCTGTCTCTGTCCTCCTCCTCCTCTGCAGCAGCTGTCACCCTTTCGCTGGCCGACTTCTTCATTTTCTCCGGCGCCTGCCTCTCCGGAGCCACCCTAGACTCGGATTTACTCCTTGTGACATGATGCTCCACTTCAGAACTGGAACTTTGGTCCCTATTCTCACGTGTAACCAAGTCCGGTACACCCGCAATGTCAGTTCCTTGCTCGGATCTGTAGAAAGAAGAGAACTTGATAGATTTGACCCGTTCCAAGAGGGAGGGAGCTCGTTCTAGTGGAACCGATCGATCAACTCCGGTCGTGTAGTCTGGTTCGGTGTTTTGTAAAAAGTCCGTGAACGCTTCTCTTTGGGTTTCTGAGTCGGGCGATGAGTATAAGTTGATGGATTTGACTCGTTCTATTAACGATGGGCCTCTAACGAGCGGTCTGATTTCTTCCTGTTCTCTTCTTTTGGAGCCAAAACGGGAGGTGAGTGCAATGGTGCCAATCACTATATTGAGCAACAGGAAAAGAGAGGCAGGTGTAAACCAGCCGCTCGTCAAACTACCCATGGAGGTCGATGACTGTGGCTCGGCCATGGTTCTTGGGTTCAGGGATTTTTTTTAGGTTTGTCTATTCTACAGTACTGCAGGAAGGAAATAGTAGGAGTTCTGTGGTGTAAAGTCTGGAGAGGTAGAGTCGTATTTATGTTACTCCATCCCATTGACGCCTCACTTCTTCTAGTCAACTACGATAATACATTTGGAAAATCTAGCGGTTCTGGCTTTTTTTTTTTACTCCGACCAAAATATAATAGTAAAAAAAAAAAAGAATTACGTGTTGGCAGACGGCATAGTACACGTGGTGGTTTATTCTTGAGAAAAGGTTAGATCCAGTCATCCAGATTAAGAAGGTCTCGTTTTAGGAAAGGAACATGGAAAGGGACGCCATTGTTTGCTGATATTGAAATTTTGTTTTTTTAGATTATGATGTTGTCACTTTCCTTTGGAGCTTTTATTTTTTAATTTATTATCTATATATATATATATAAGCAATAATTATAAATTTTATTAGAAAATTATTTAAATATATTTTAATCCAGACCGAGACACAACATCATTTGCTCAATGTATTGGTTAAAACTTAAAAACACTTCTTGATATGGACATATGGTTATGGCTTTCCATTCCCACCAACCTACTTCATGTCTCTTGTGCAGTTGCATTGAAGAAGAGTGGTTGGTCCATTCTCATCACATATCCTTTTATCTACTACGTTACATATTTATATTGTCACTTAATTAATTAATTAGCTAAAATTGGAAGTTCGCAATACTTTAAATTACAACTTGCTAATTAATTAATTGGGTAAAAGAAAAGTAGTAGTTTATTATATGGCTCAATATTGTTATGCTCCATTTCTTTGAAACTGATTTTTTTTTTTTTTTTGAAGCTGAACTTGTTAGTTTATCTTTGTCGTGGTCCACATTTGAATGTTCTTGTGGGTTGCGACAAAGAAAGTGCTGTCACGTAGCATCTTTTCAATACTACCACTTTATGAAAGTGTCTTAAGTATTACTAATTGATTAACCTTGTTCCAATAGAAAAAAAGAAGTTTGTTTAATTTATTTTTTTCATACTTTGCTGCCTAAAAAAGAATACTAAGATTAATTGTTTTTATCCCAGATGTGATATAAAAGTCTGGAAAGTCATGATAATTGCCATATTAATGATAACGAAATGTATTCGTATATTCAAGTTAAAGATCAATGCATAATAAGCAAAATTGATTGCAAATTCTCCCATGATTGCTTACGATAAGCTACTGTACACATTCTTAATAAGCTCGTTTAGATCATATCAACGATTATATAATAAAACGGTCATGAATAAGAGAATTGAACTCATGACCTTTGATTTTTTATACATTCATTTTAGTCACTAGATTAATATTTCATCGTGTATATAGTTGATAATAATAATAATATTATTATATCATGATAATTAAAATCAACAATTCCTAAAAGTCTATTACCTAAACAGATTTCGCACATGTATGATTTTGTTAACGAATTATCCTTGCATCTTCTACGCATTTTTTTTTTCCGGTAGAGGTAAAATTAAAAGCTATAAAGCACGAGGGTCATTGAACTTTGACTTTCCTTTTCTTGAAGATAGATAAGCTCTGCTTTCACACACCACGTTTAACAGTTTAATATTATTATCCATTTATCCATTTTTATTGTAATAATCTGATTAATGTGAAACAACCAGAGTTTGTTGCTATGCGTAGGGTGTGAACTCTGACTCTCTGAGTACCGAGTGGGCCAATTGGTTTGGACTGTTCTGTGGTGCATTATAAAGACTAATTAACGCCGTTGAAATTTGAAGTCCATGTGTTGATGATGCCATCTGCACCGGTGCCTGAATTTATTAGCTTTGATTTTTTTTTTTTTATTACTAATATATAATTTTCTATTTTTAATATATAGGTCTTCGTATTTCTCCATCTGTTGGAGAAAATTATTTAAATATTTATTTGCAAAATTGTTTAGATAGGTTATTTTTAGGGTGTACCGAACATATCTTTTATAACAAAAAACTTAGGTTAATTAAATAATGAATTTTAATCAAATTGCGGTTGACCCCGCCCCCTTTTTCTTAATTTGTAATTATAATTATATTTGAAAATCAGGCACGAAGACATCATCAATCATCAATTGGTTTTGTTGAATCTTTATATCACTTTTGTCTCTTAAAAGTTACTAAATAAAAATAAATTATCTTTGTTTGATTTTTTTATCTGAAATTTAATATATATTATTTCGGGGGTGAAAATATGAGTTAAAGTAAAGCTCGAAATAGAAGAGGCTGACAATCCTATTATTTAGTGTTTTTTTTTTTTTTAATTTATTAAAACAATCCTATAGTTGGTAGCTTTTCTTTTCTCTTCAATCGTTTTGGGCTCTAAACCCAATATACAGTTTGCTATGGGCTTCAGTCTTGAATTGTAAGATTAGGGTCCAACTCCAATCTCTCTCTGTCACAGGAACTGGTAAGTTTTGGAACAAATGCAAATTTCTGCTTCCAAGTGTAGACTCGCCTTTCGCCTTCTTCAGGTACTGGCGGTATATCCGCATTTCCCTCTCTGTCGCTACTAAACACAAGCTTCTGTCGTCTAATGGCTCCGCCAAGAATCCTTCTCTGCGGTGACGTTTTAGGCCGCCTCAACCAGCTCTACAAGCGAGTCCAATCGGTCTCTCTCTCTCTCTCTCTCTCTCACTTCTCACATTTTTGTCTCTGTAGGGTTTAGTTTCTTATATTTAGCTTCTTTAACAATATTTGAATTGCAGGTGAACAAATCAGCTGGACCATTTGATGCGCTCTTCTGCGTCGGTCAGTTCTTCCCTGGCTCGCCGGAGCTACTTGAGGAGTTCATGGACTACGTGGAAGGACGCTCTCAAATTCCTCTTCCGACCTACTTCATCGGCGACTATGGCATCGCTGCCCCTAAAGTCTTAGCTGCCGCTTCTAGGAACTCTGCGAATTTAGGATTCAAAATGGACGGTTTGAAAGTTTGCGAGAATCTGTTTTGGCTTAGAGGCAGCGGCAAGTTCACTCTCCATGGTACTGTGCCCAGTTCAGAACTTAACAATTTCATTCTCTGTGTTTCCCAAGTAGATTAGAAAAATAGTTGAACTTGGTTTATTAGCTATTTTGTTCATTTTATTTCATCTATCGCTGAATTATTGAATCATACGATTATTTCAATTTTTAAAACGTAATGGAATGTTTTGATTATCTTGTATTACTAATAATAATTATTGTTAATCTACTGCATTGGCATTTAGGTGGTTTATCTGTTACGTACTTATCTGGTAGGCAGTCACCAGACAGTCAACAGTTTGGAATATACAGTCAGGATGATGTTGATGCGTTACGGGCTTTGGCTGAGGAACCTGGAATAGTTGACTTGTTTCTAACATATCCTTGCTACTCTGTTGTTAATGAACTTTTACTATTTTCTGGAGTTATATCTACTTGCTTTATTTTCTAGTTAAGGGTGTCTATATGTGTCTTTTGTTTACCCTAATCAGTTATCACTAATGAGTGGCCAAGCGGGGTCACAAATAGAGCTTCTATATCCGATATACCTGCAGGAGTATCAGATTCAGTGGGTAGTGACTCTACCATATCTGAGTTAGTAGCTGAGATCAAACCACGGTAAGTCACGTGTGGAGGCTATTGTTGCCTTGTATGATAGTAGTCTCTTAGGCCAATTATTCCTCCCCTTATAGAAAGTGGCTTATGGAATCCATTTATTGTTAAAAGTGCATTGTGTATATTTTGTTTAAACGAAAATTCGGAGAATGAGGATTTATGACCTTATGGCACGGCCACGGCCACAGCCGATTTATCTTTTTATTTCAAGTCCTTGGGAAATGAAATATGGATATCTTCTGTTTCATTCTTCTGTATTCCTTTGCAGCTTTACTACTTTTTATCCCATTAGAACTTTCAGCGTGAACATTCACTTACTATTTGATCTTAATCGAATCATATGAATCTTGCTGATAAAAGTTTGTCTTATGTGGCAGCTACCATGTTGCAGGTACTAAGGGTGTATTTTATGCTCGTGAACCTTACTCTAACACAGACGCTTTGCACATTACTCGCTTCTTGGGTCTTGCTTCAGTTGGTAATAAAGATAAACAGGTAATAGTTATTGTTCTCAACGTGATTGTGAAGTTTCTAAATTCCTTTTTTCTGCCATTTTGACATGTTTGAAAGCTTCTCCTTAATGCACGTTGTGGTTTCAATAATTTTATGTTCAAGATATCAAGTGTTATTATTTGAATATAAAGGCATAGTGAGAGGCTGATAGCAATTGTGACTGATGTGTGGTCCGATTAATGCTTTCTTTCAGTGATATTGTTACTGTCGTTTAATTTTTATACCACCTATTTGATTTAGATTTTTGATTTTATGTTCCGGGCTTTCTGTGACTCTGGGTCCCTGAATTTGTTTCTCAGAAATTTATCCATGCAATTTCTCCTACTCCAGGATCTATGATGACTGCTGCTGAGATTAGCACAAAGCCCTCCAACACTACCTTATCACCATATACATTTGTAGAGCAAACAGCTCTTCTTAAAGAAATTACCAAGAGGCCTAGTGACAATGTGTCTGATTCACAATATTGGAGATATGATGTCTCCCAAAAACGTCAGAAAACTGGAACAGTGGATGGTGATAAGCTGTGTTTTAAATTTGTATACTCTGGTTCTTGCCCACGAGGGGAAAAATGTCACTTTCTGCATGACATGGATGCAAGGCAACAATATTTAAGAGGTGTTTGTATTGATTTTCTTATGAAAGGAAAATGCGAAAGAGGTCCAGACTGCAGCTTTAAGCACACTTTTCAGAATGAAGGTGAGAGCTATTCTCATAGGAGACGTGGCTCTGAAAATTCCAATGCTAACAGGTAAGTGGTTGGTTGCATGCTAGACTGGTGATTGCATAGTGATTTCTGTTTAGGTTCCAGTTAGTTGAGCTTTCTGTCTTTATTTATTAATTTTTAAGTAAAATTTATATCAAATATTTATTTGGTTGTATGGTTATGCACATTTTTGCATTCCTTCTGAATGATTTTGTCATGCATATATTATTAAATAGGCTATTGCATAGCAATGAATCCTGTAATTTTGTTACAGGTCAAAAGAGTGTTGGTTTTGTTTGTCAAGCCCTAGTGTAGAGTCACATCTAATAATTAGCATTGGAGAAAATTACTACTGTGCCCTGGCCAAAGGCCCCCTTGTTCAAGACCATGTACTATTAATACCTGTTGAGCACTCACCCAATACTGTTTCCTTACCTGAAGAATGTGAATCCGAACTTGTTGAATTCCGGAACAGTCTCAAATTATATTATAAGAACCAGGGAAAGGAGGCCGTCTTATTTGAATGGGTTTCCAAGCGTGGTACTCATGCTAATCTTCAGGTAAAATTAATATCTTTTTTTAACAGAAATGAAAGAATTTCCTAATTACATGCGTGATGTATTACAACTGTGAATTGGTTATGTGGACCTGATTTTTTTATTTTTATTTTTACGAGAAGCTGCTAGAGTTAATTTCCATAATACTTTGTGTCCTTTCTTGGGATATTAACAAGCACAAGCTGTTGCCCAAAATTCTTCTTGCCATTTTTATGTTAGTTTATGAGACATGAGAAATGATAGTTTTTCTTTTTGAAAAGGGGAAAAAAGAGAGCATTTTAAACAACAGAATAATAACAATAAAGAACCTGCCACTATTAATTATTATGGCAATTGCTTTACTACTTGGTGTTTTACTTGTTCCAACTTCCTTTTCTTTCCCATAGGTTGCTCCTGTTCCTTCATCCAGAGCAGCTGTCATTCAAGATATATTTAATATGGCTGCTGAAAAGCTGGGTTTTAAATTTGTAATCATGAAATGTAAGTTGTATTATTCAATATTCTATGCATAATTACTCTGGCCAAAACATTCATGCTTTTTTCAAGTAATTTCCTACATTTCGAGTTTCATGGGATGATGTCTGTCCCTTGGCCAAAATTCTTTTAATTGCAAGGCAAGGTGTGACTGTCTTGAGTTGTAAACTTGTAATTCCTAAATTATTTGCATGCTGTGATTTTTGAAATACCTTCAGAATTATCAGCACCATACCTTCTTAGAAAGTTTCAGATTGGCCATCTTGAAGAAAGGTTCTCTGCTTGTAGTTCTTCGCAACACCTTATTGGTATTCCATTGTTTTGAATGCATCTTCATACTGTTGTCTCTCATGCAGTTGACAATAATTCAGATGGGAGAAAATGGTTGAGAACACAGTTTGATAGGAACCATAGTTTCTTCTATGTGGAACTTCCTGATGGTACAGTACTGTTGCATTCAGTTGATGAGAATGAGAAGTTTCCAGCGCAATTTGGACGTGAAGTAAGAAATGAAATTCTACCTATTTTCCTTTCTATATAGGTTTTAATAGTTTATTTTAATTATAAATTTGGTTTCCATTCACTGAGCTTTGGGAATAACCTTTGGTATTTTAATGCAAATTACATCTAGTAGCAGTGGGGAAACCAGAAAAAATAATTAGAGGGACCGAAAAAAAGTTTTCAAAATTTAGAGGGGGCGATATTGAAAAAATCACTATTTTATAGGTAATAAATAAATTTTCTATATTTTATAAGGTAAATTTCAAAAAAAATTTAAAATTAGTGGGGGGTGGCTGGCGGTAGTTCCGCCGCTGTCTAGTAGTCCACCACTTATTTTTGTATATGTAGACTCTAAATTAACTATACCTTTATTTTTGGGCTTTTCATTCTTAGTACAGTTGATGATATATAAGAAGTGAATTATTTTAGTGACTAGTTATGCTATTGATCATGCATAACTGAATTGTTGTCCCACAAAACCAAACCAAAATATTTTTCAACACATTATGCTATGGTTGTGCTTGGTGGTTGAACTCTATCCCTGCAACAGACTGCCTAATATTTTTTGAATTATTTGAAGTTAATAAAAATTCTTTCATCTGTCTATGTAAATTGGAATCGATGCTTCTTTTATTTGAAATAAGGATGAAATTAAATATTTTTGCAGGTTCTAGCTGGTTTGCTGAACAAGCCTGAGAGAGCTGATTGGAGGGCTTGTACGCTTAGCAAAGAAGAGGAAATGAAAATGGTGGAAGAATTCAAGAAACAATTTGGAGAATTAGATCCAAATCGGTGATTCATGCGAATAATTGGTAGAACCAGCAGTTTGACACCAATCACTGCTATGTTGTTCATTGTTAGTGTTCCTCCCTTTCAGGTACTTTCACTTTTCCAAGTTTAGATAATCTGAGGTCTTTTGTCTTCGTAGTTGACCTTTTTTTTTTTTTTTTTTTGCTTGGTGGTTGAAAACTCTATTCCCCTGCAAACACGACTGCCTAATATTTTTGAATTATTTTGAAGTATAATAAAATTCTTTCATCTGTCTATGTAAATTGGATCGATGCTTCTTTTATTTGAAAATTAAGGATGAAATTAAATTATTTTTGGCAGGTTCTAGCTGGTTTGGCTGAACAAGCTGAGAGAGCTGATTGAGGGCTTGTAACGCTCTAGTCAAAGAAGAAAGGTAAATGAAAAATGGTGGAATGAAATATCACCACGAAATCAATTGGGAGAATTAGGATCCCAAATCGGTGGATTCATGATCGGCGAAATAATTGGTTAAGAAACGCAGCAGTTTTTGACACCAATCAACTGCTTGGTTTTGTTTCATGTGATTAGTGTTCCTCCCTTTCAGGTACTTATCACTTTTCGCAAGTTAGATAATCTGAGGTTCTTTTGTCTTCGTAGTTGTACCCTTTTTTTTTTTTTTTTTTTGGAGCAGTGCTGGGAATAACTGAACCTTTTTTTTTTTTTTTTTGGAGCAGTGCTGGGATACTGAATTATCCTTCAATGGACGAATATCCAGCTTGACAACCACCCAAGATGATCATCACTATTTCATGGTTGTTTGACTTCTTTATCTCATTTCTTAAAGTGACAGAATTAGGGTGACCTGCAGATTTTAACATTTTATGTGCAGCTATTTACAGTCCAAGCTCAGGTACAAGGAATACCTGATCTTTCCGTTGGTAGCCTGTAAATTTTCTGAATTTGGCATCCAGATATACATATGAAGCTTCTTTCACCATCAATGAAAATTGAGATAGTAGGGTTCCAAACTGAGACAACATTTTTGTATGACGTGATACCTTTTTTGATTCCAAATAGAAGCACTCACAAATGACTGTAGTTACTCGATACCTCTGTTTCTTCCTTTGTTTGATATCTAGGAATAGGTGTGTCTTTGTCAACTTCATTTTTCTTCTGCTCCATGTAGTCTAATGCTTCTACTGACTTTTTGAAAGTTTAATCTTGAGTTGATTTTGCATTGTCTTGTGCACTGAATTCTAAACTGATAATTTTGCAGTTAATACTATTCTTGCCCACTGTTTTGACGCAACTGAATTACTTTTGGATTTTACCCTTATCTGATTGAAAGATGAGTGTTTGAGATATGTGAATGTGGCAAATACTAAGTTGACGGTGATTGTATAGGTTGATTGACGGTGGGGCTCCAGTCTTACCTGTATTATTTGCAGATCTACTTGGGTTAAGAACGAAGTGCAATTCTGGATCCCTATTTCGCATTATCTGGCCGGCAGAAATTGGTCCGGGACAAGGAAGCTTAATTGCTGGGACCAGAAAATTAATGCATCTTTGAAATAGTTCCTTGAGATTTAGGGTGGGTTGCTTGTAAACTAGGTCGGAGATATCCCAGCCAATGTGGATAATGTTCAATATTAGAGACGTCTCTTTTCAGCCTTAATAAAGGCAAATAAGGCCCCAGAAAAGGTAAGTGAAGAATTAAAATATGGGCCAGAGTGACATGATGAAACGTTAATTGCTTATCCACACATGTTTGAAGTTGTACTGAAGTTGTTGAAACTCTCTGGTTATGGTCCCATACAATGTTTAGTTGCTTTTGCTTATAGACAATGGCATAAAAGGGTTATTCAAGCAACTTTGTGGTGGAAAACTGACATTATAAAAGAAAGCAAAAATGAAGAGAAGAGTGAGCTGCAAGGATACAGTTGGTTCTTGCTCATGCCCATGAGCCCTTTTACCCTTGTTTACATTAACTATGATAAAGAAGTTTCTTCCAGTTCGATACATTATTATAATTATAGAGAAAAATTTTTTTTATAATGCTCTCTTTGTTAGTGGTCCAGCAGAAATCCACCTGCATTGGCTTATTTTGTGGCCTTGTCCACATGATTATGGACATTCCTTGCTGTAATCACCTTGGAATTTTAAAAATTAAAGGAAAATTATAGTTTGTGAAAATAAAAATCTGTTTAAAAAATGCTAGTAATTACTCTCTTTTGTTTTTCATAGTAATTGGAGAGTATTTGATCCTTTTGTTTTAATTTAATTTGACATCTGATCTTAATCTCAATTATTCCAAATGATAGAGTCACATTGCTCAAAAATTAAACATAATTCATCATTTATTTTTTGGCAATTTCTGTAGGAAAGAACACCGACTCGCATATAAGTTGGATAAAGAATTGAAAAAGAAACAATTGCCTTTGGATTATAGCTGATACCTGAGAATCAAGATTCCTTTTCTAAAATTGTCTTGTGAGTGCATGTGCAGTCAAGCAATCGTATGAGACAATTAGCTTACTGAAAGCAAAATTTTCTCGTCATCGTCATGTGAAAAAAAAAAAAAAAAAAGAATATGCCCATTTAGATGGCTTTCATTTGTTTTTCTTTTTATTTTATTTTAAAATATTACTTTTTCAATATTAAGAGAAGATAATTTTTACCTGTTTCTAACTAATTATAATTTTCTATTCTAATTTTTTCACCAAAAATATTAAAGTTTAAATTTATCATAAATAAATAATTTTATTATTTTGTTCCACACATGTTTTCATGGTTTTTGCTGAAATAATATTCAGATAATTTTTTTCTTTTCTAGTTAATTTTACAGGTAAAATTCATTTAAAGGTAAAAGCTAACACTAATCAGATCATAAATAATTAACTTAAAGAGATGCTTTATTAGGTAAATTAAGTAAACTTTTTTCCTTCACACATCTTTTGGTCACATGCCGCATAATTTCCACGTCATCGTCACCGACGTCATTATTGCTATGATGGAGAAGTAGCGTCTCCACCCCATTCGAAACCGATGGCTAGGATCCTTTTTCGTATCTTTTAAAAATTATTTAACCTGTGAATAGCACAATCATGTAATGTCCTTGCTTGCGGTCACTTTTGTATTCATTTATAGAGATGCTGCAGGAAATTGAATACGATGCTACCATAGAGAATTTACTTTTAACCAGCTTTTTTTTTTTTTTGTAAATTTTTAAATTTGATCAATTATAACAATAAGTGCGGTGAAATATTTATTAAATTAGTATTTTTTATGAAATTAATAAATTAAGAAAAATTTCGAGCTCAGTATGGAATCTCGAAAGAGAGTGCTTTATCTCCCTTTATAGGTATATCCAGCACAAATTCAGATTGATCGAACGAGTAGACTTCAAATACCGGATGATTAAAATCAAAAAAATAAATTAACCTCAAAAAAGTTAACTAAATTAAAGATAAAATAGTAAATTTAGAATTCAGTACACGTAAATTGCTCTTAATTAATTTTTTCCCTCCATCTAATACGGTTTCCTCTTCTTCTAGGCACAATTACTGCTGTGGTGGGATTTTCAGATATTTGTTTATAATCAGACTTTAGTAAGTATTCACGTGACGCCTTTCACAACCTACCAAAATTTCATTTTGTTTGGCAAGATTCAACCATTTGATTGATTATGTTAGGAATAAGAGCACTTAAAAAATAAACAATAGCGACTGCTGAGAAGACATTGAGTCTCCCTTCCATCGATTTTATAGAATTAAAACAAAAATCATTTTTTAATTTTAGAAATTTCACTTTCCATCCTTGAGTTATTAAATTAAAACCCTAATCCCACATCTACACTCAAAATTTGCGATATTTGTGGATGGAAAAGTGAAAGAACACATCACATGATCTTTCTGATCATTGATGAGCATTGGGAAACTACTATAACTTGGAATATACTCTACTGCATGTCTATTTACTCCTAGACAAGTTAATTTTAACTATGTAGGTTGAGTGTATAAATTCATCCATATATTTTATATAAAAATTTTGTGGTATCCTTAAATTTTAATTCTATTGAATACTTTAATTTATAAAAATATATCAATTAAATATTTTAACTTGTAAAAAATTATTATATTGAATACTCAAACTTTTAAAATTAGATCAATTAAACATTTATTAGATGGTTGAAAAATATAAAAATTATTATTTCAAATATTATATTACCACATATTAAGTGAATATCTTATACATAAATACTAAAAACACCAAAATATTATTATTATTAATATAGAGAGGGATAAAATGTTAGCAGAATTCGTAACTTCAAAACTATAATAGATTATTTGTAAAGTTTAAAGCTGTCACAAAATTTTTTCTGTAAAGTACATGAATATGTTCATATATTTCGCGACCTATGTACAATAAAAGAAAAATAAGATGATGTGTCAAAATTCTTCAGTGACACATGAAATATCTCACTCTCAGAAAGTCACCATCTCATCTTTAAGATCAATTAGAAATCAACAAGAAGCAATCTGAGTCAAGCAACTACATTAAACAATCCCTAATTCCTTTTTTCTAAATAAAATAATAAAAAAAAGTGCAACATTTAATCCCCATTAATCCCCCATTAAAATATTACTACTGCTTAACGTTAACTTCCCACTGACCTTTTCTTCGTCTTAACCATATCTCTCTTTAAACTTTGTCCCCACAAAACTGCCAAAACTTTCTCTGTCTTAAAGCAGTTGTTACATAAAACAGTAAATGGTGTTGGCTTATGTCTCTTTTATTTTTGTTTGTTACTTACTTGGTTTTAACTGTTAATTTGGTTGCCAGTTGAAATGTTTCAATCATCGTTTATGGCAATTTCGGAGGTGTACAAACTACAAAGTTGAGAGCTTTATTCCACAGGCAAAACATTTCCTGGGATTTTTGGGAAAAAACCCATTCTGGGTTTTCCCATAAACCGCATAGTCATTGCTTTTGTTTACTCTGTTTGTGGGTCTTGGCTAATCTAACTTCCTCTTTGCAATTGCTTCAAGTATCTCTAATATAGTAAATTAATCATTTTTGGTTCTTTTGTTTACTTAAAAAGAAAGATTTTTTTTTTCCTCTTTACCATCAATGGGGGAGCTGTGAGATTTGGTGCTTTATGGGATGGGTTCGGTGGTGCCAGCCATTCTTCAGCTGGTGAAACTTTGTACCATTGTCCTTGTTTGTACTGTCCAAGGATCTACAGGTAATTTTATGTCTTTAAACTCAAATTTGTTAGAATTCTTCCCAGTTCATAGGATTAGCGAGTTTAAGTTGTTTAATTAGATTTATAGTTATATCAAACAATTTGATGATCTGGGTTGATAAAATTTTATTATGCCAATGTTAGTATGAATAAGCTACATATGCGTGTTCTTTTGTCGCAGATTTTAGTCTTATTTGATTTCTAGAGTATAAGAGGATAATAGAGTCGAGTTAGACCAGTTTGGACTGTGAAAATCTTTATTGATCTGAACTTGTCAAAGCTCTATGTTATTATTTTTTCTAATATCTGTGATTACAACTTCTAGGTTCAAGTCATTGAATTTGAGACAGCTTTGAAAACTAATAACTACACTAATCTGTATCCTTACCTATAAAACGAGTATGGCTACTGAATAGTCCCACCTCAGGCTTCTTAATCTTCTTATTCAACACATGTTTATTCTGAGAAACAGTTTTTCATATCGAAGAACCCATTATTTTAGGGAACACTGCAGTCTATGTTTCTTGAGACTCATATAAGCAAGACACATTTTTTTCATTATGCTGGTGTATTGGTTAAATCCAATTAGTAGAGAGTTAGTTTGCTAAGAAATACAGTATGTTTCTTGGCTATGAAGTTCGCATTAATGGTAAACAAACTTTAGAAGTAGACTTAAAAATTATCCTTCTTTTAATCACATTTAAAAAAAATATATATTTGCTTCTGTGCTACTAGGAGAAAGTGTCCATAATGACGGTAAAGGCACACAAAAAGATGTCTCTTTTGGTTGATATTTTTCAAACTTGACAAAGAAACTTTATGAATTAATACAAACCCATTTCACTATACATGCAAGAACGAACGGACATGATTGTCTCTATCTTGCTTGCGTTTGTTATTAGATGCTTTTGGTTTTATCTTATTCAGGACAGAATATCTCCCCATCTCCAGCAACTTTTTCTGAGATTCCTCCTACAGAACGACTACCTGCACCCACAAAAAGCAATGTGCCAAGCTCAATATCTCGACCAAATGGTAACTTGCATAAAATGCACTTTAAATTGTTTACTAATGTCAGATTGTCTAATAATGCCTCTGCTTTGGCAATACAGGGTCAGTTTTGCACCCTCCCCTTGCATCACCGCCTGCCATTCTTGCGCCATTGCGTCAGGAAATAAGAGGGCTTGTACCATCCTATCCACCCAGCAATCCAGTAGCAAGGGCACCAGATAATACAGCTCAACCACCATTAATTTTTGAAGGACATATGCCACCCTTGTCACCAAATGTTCCAGTTGTATCTTCACCATATAACACAGTACCTCCCCCCTCGACTGCTGAAGGAAATGAACAACCTGTGCCACCAAATGCTTCTCAGAGAAATGAAACAATTGCACAGCCTTCTGCATCTGTTCCAGGTGCACTACATTCATAACTCACTGGATTTTGTTGTGCTTAACAATTTCAGGTTTATTTTTGTCCTAAAGCAATGGTATTTCACTATATCTGGTTCCAGATACAGCTCCTTCAAAGAATTTGCCGCATAAGTCACCAGTTGTCCACCCGAGTACACCTGAAACTTCACCAGTTATCAACTCAAGCGCACCTGAAATTTCACCAATCATCCATCCAAGGGCTCCTGAAATTTCACCATATAACACAGTACCTCCCCCCTTGACTGCTGAAGGAAATGAACAACCTGTGCCACCAAATGCTTCTCAGAGAAATGAAACAATTGCACAGCCTTCTGCATCTGTTCCAGGTGCACTACATTCATAACTCACTGGATTTTGTTGTGCTTAACAATTTCAGGTTTATTTTTGTCCTAAAGCAATGGTATTTCACTATACCTGGTTCCAGATACAGCTCCTTCAAAGAATTTGCCGCATAAGTCACCAGTTGTCCACCCGAGTACACCTGAAACTTCACCAGTTATCAACTCAAGCGCACCTGAAATTTCACCAATCATCCATCCAAGGGCTCCTGAAATTTCACCTGATAATCATCCTAGAAACAGATCATTTAGTAGTGCTCCTACACCAAAGTCTATTGTACCAGGTATAGAATCAATTGTTTGTTGTGTATAATTGATTCTCCAGTAGGTTCTATTCTTCATTTTTCTTTCTCCAAAATATGACAGCTGCATCTCCACCAAGGAAATTGGGAGGAAGCCAGCCATCTGTTCAACCCATTGCACCACCAGCAATAATTCCACCTGTATCACCGGGTATGCACTGTTACATAAATTAGAGCGTGTGAATTCTTTTTCTTTTTGTAACAAAACAATAGAATTTGATCTAGTTGTTGAGTAAAGAAGTTCCTGTTGCATAGCAAATAGGACAATTACCAACACATTGACCAGCAATCCACCCTATTATGCCTGGAGAATCACCTTCTACATTACCTGGTTCTACTTAAAGGAAACACTTAAATTGCATTTTCGTGTTTAATTGCTGTCTCTTTGAAGTTGAAAGTTAAACCATTTAATATGCTCACTTTCAATTTCACATTTAATTATTCTTACACCTTTTGTTTGCCGATTTTAGTTTTCATTTTCATATTTCTTTATATTTGTACTTCAGTTCTATGGGCATTGAGTTTAAAGGCCATGATTGTAAGAAATTCTAAAAGGTTCCTTACTGTGACTTGGTTCTATTACCACTAGTAAGGACATGGCTTTGTTCCAAGATCATCAAAAATATTAAGTGCACATTTGAAAGGCACTATCCACTAGACATAGGCAATATTTTCCGTACAGAAGTCCAATGTTATATTTCATTGTTCTCCTTCTGGACTGCAGGTTCTGTTGTATATCATGGATTGACTCCATCCCCAAGTACTGACTGGAAAAAAGATGGAATTCCTGTTGCTGCACCACCAGATAAAGCAACTGGGGTCTTACCTCCTCTAAGCCATTCACCAACAAAAGGTTTACATTCTTAAAACTGCAGACCTTGACCAAATCTCTAAAATGGTAGCATAGCAAAGATATCAATATTCTCATAATAATAATTGCAGGTTCTTTTTCTGCTGTAGCTCCCTCCACACACCAAGAAATGAGGCACTATAATGATGCTCCTGTTCCATCCTTGTCATCTCCTCCTAAATCTCCTCTGAAGACAGAGCCCCTCTCTCCTGCATCTTCACTTTCTATCCCTTTGCATAAGCAGCACCATGAAAGGACCAAAATCAATAGCCCTGCTCCTACACTATCTCCTTCCTCATCAAAACACCTAGGTCTATCTTTTATGGTTGAGAAAATTTGTAGCTTGATAGCTGTCTGTGGTTTAACCATCTCTTAACAGATGCAGTTCTTTTATCTTTTGTGCTCTTTTCAGGTCCAGTAATCTCTCCGTCGTTTGTTCCACCGAGCAGGCAAACACGCTATGCTCCTACACCCCTGAGTCCAGGTACCACATGTTGTATGTTTTGGCTCCACTTTCAGAGCATTGATCTGGTCATTTCAGTTTCTAACGCAGTTCCTCCATGGCAGAATCTTCAGCTTCTGCATCACATTACCCTGTTCATAAACCAGTGACGGTTGACTCACCTGCTCCTTCACCATCTCCAACAGTAGCATCTGGCTGGACCAAAAGTAATAACAATTCACATTGCTTCCCTTTTCCTTTCAATTTATTAAATATTTTATATGCTTAATAGTTTATATTTTAATTGTGCTTGCTTTTCCAAGTGCCTATTGTTCCCCCTAAAGTTTCTCCATCTGGATCTTTGTCAAAGAGTCCACAAATGCCCCTTCCGCCACACATTCAAGCATTGCCACCTCCACCTCCTAATGAAGGTATGCGAAGCAGGCTCTCTTAACATTTTCTGTTTTTATTCTTTTTGTTTCCCCTATTATATTCTTCATCTTGCTAAAATAGGTTGATTTTGTCTGTAGATTGTGCAGCAACTGTTTGCATGGATCCATACACAAATACCCCACCTGGGTCGCCATGTGGCTGTGTCTTGCCTATGCAAGTTGGACTGCGCCTTAGTGTTGCACTATATACCTTTTTCCCTCTGGTTTCAGAGCTTGCTCAAGAAATTGCTGCTGGTGTTTTCATGAAACAAAGTCAAGTTCGAATCATGGGTGCTAATGCTGCTAGCCAGCAACCAGAGAAGACCATTGTCCTCATTGACTTGGTTCCCCTTGGAGAAAGATTTGACAACACAACTGCCTTTTTGACTTATCAGAGATTCTGGCATAAACAAGTAGTAATAAAAGCTTCGGATTTTGGTGATTATGAAGTATTATATGTGCGGTATCCAGGTCTGTAAATTATTAATCACAGGCCTTTTTCATCTTTTGGTAGATTCTTTTACGCGGTTATTTATCTAGAATTATTGTTTTATAGGTTTACCCCCATCTCCGCCTTCAGCGCCTTCTGACATTTCTATAATAGATGACGGGCCATATTCTGGCAGCAATGCAAGGAAAATAAAACCTCTTGGGGTTGATGTACAGAAAAGGCAACAAAAAGATGGGCTCAGTGGTGGCATGATTGCTATTATTGCCCTATCAGCTTCTGTAGCACTAGTTTTATGCTCTGCTGTTGCATGGGTTTTGCTGGTTAGGCATAGAGGACGCATGAGTCAACCAACACGAACTCTACAGCCTTTGCCACCTTCCATTGCAAAGCCATCAGGTAATCTCTATGTTTGTAAAACCTGGTGCATTCTGTTGTAGATAAGTACTTTTATCACCATGCAGTATTTAAGATGAATTGCACCGATTAGTTATTCTTTGTAGTTGAATTTAGCAAGTTTTTATTATCATGTTACAGATAAAAGGAAAAATTAGAAAAGGAAACAGAAATACATGTCTTCAATGCTGCTTGAGCTATATGAATCTAATTCTATAGTACTGTTGAGTTCTGTATTTTTTCGAAATGAGAAGTACTAATATAAATTTTTATAGGAACTACTGGGTCGTTGGTTGGAAGTGGTATCAGTTCTACTTCCTTGTCATTTGGATCTAGCATTGCACCTTATGCAGGATCAGCTAAGACCTTCAATACAAGTGACATAGAAAGAGCTACAAATAACTTTTCTGCTTCTAGAATACTTGGGGAAGGTGGCTTTGGGCGTGTTTACAGTGGTATCCTTGAAGATGGGACCAAAGTGGCAGTTAAAGTACTGAAGAGAGATGATCATCAAGGTGGTCGAGAATTCTTAGCAGAGGTAGAAATGCTTAGCCGTCTTCATCACAGAAATCTGGTCAAGTTGATTGGAATATGCATAGAGGATCGTGCGCGCTGTTTGGTATATGAACTCATGCCAAATGGCAGTGTGGAGTCTCATTTACATGGTACTGGTTTTGCTTTTTCTGTTGATTCATGTTGGGTCAGGAATTTCTTATTTTTCTTTAATTGGTCACTTTCATACAAAATGGTTAAGCTAGATTATTTATTTCTTGCCAGGGACTGATAAAGAGTCTGCTCCACTTGATTGGGATGCACGGATCAAAATAGCACTTGGTGCAGCTCGAGGTCTAGCTTATCTACATGAGGATTCGAGTCCTCGTGTCATACACAGGGATTTCAAGTCTAGCAACATCTTGTTGGAACATGATTTCACACCAAAAGTTTCTGACTTTGGTTTGGCTCGAACTGCCATGGATGAGGAGAACAGACACATATCAACCCGTGTAATGGGAACTTTTGGGTGAGAATTCTGTTATGGTTGTATCTATTTCTGTCATATCCCGTCATCAGTTGCACAAGTTAACTATGTGGCCTCATAGACCATGACTCATGGTTGGTTGCATTTCATACATAAATCATAAACTTAGAAGGGGGTCATGTGCAAAATTGACAAAAGTGACTTGCTCAGTTCCTAGTTCCAAATTTTGTACTTGTAATTTGAATTGATGTTTCTGTTTTTCTGGTAAACTTTTGTCAGGTATGTGGCTCCAGAATATGCAATGACTGGCCATCTTCTTGTAAAAAGTGATGTATATAGCTATGGTGTAGTCCTTCTGGAGCTCTTAACTGGAAGAAAACCAGTGGACATGTCACAGCCACCTGGACAGGAGAATTTAGTTGCCTGGGCTCGTCCGCTTTTAACTAGTAAAGATGGGCTGGAAACAATTATTGACCCATGTCTAGGACCTGATGTCCCTTTTGACAGTGTAGCCAAAGTAGCAGCAATTGCTTCAATGTGTGTGCAACCGGAGGTATCACACCGTCCCTTTATGGGTGAGGTTGTACAGGCCTTGAAGCTAGTATGTAATGAATGTGACGAGGCAAAAGAAGTAGGTTCAAGAAGTTCCAGCCGGGATTTTTCTGTTGATATGGATGCTGCAGTCAGTGCAGGCTCAGGACAGCAGCCAGATCCCTTCCAAAACCAAACCTTAGTACCTGATTATGATTCTGAGCCAGACATAGAGAGAGGATTGTCAATGACAGGTTTGTTCAGTACATCGGTCAGGTATGGGAGGCAAGCATCCGGATCATTCAGGAGGTACTCTAGTTCGGGTCCATTGAGAACTGGGAGAGGCAGACAGTTATGGCAGAGAATGAGGAGTTTAGCAGGAGAAAGTGTTAGTGAACACAGGGTTATCTTCAGACGATGGCCAGGTTCACATTGAAAATTAGAACATTTTTGTAAATACTGACATCCAATTTTTGAATATCAAAAATCAAATTCTTAATTTCAAGCATGGATTTAGTCCACCGCAGCACGGATACAAGAAAACAAAGTCTTGCAGGAGCCTCAAGCAGTGAAATAAATGAAGTTAACAACTGGGGTTGCAGGAATATGAAGCTCACTCCAGTAGATTCAAAAGACTTAACGGAGCATCAAACTGTTGAATTATGCAGAATATTGCAGAATATTGAACATCAGTTTCTGTCCTAGATTGAAATTACTTTCAGAGTAGAGGTAATGAAACAATGAGATGGTAAAACCTTGAAGCAGCTTCAAAATTTGTCAATTTCTGCATGTATTTATAAAGAAAGAGGAATTACCATGTTACTCAAATCAAATGTATAGGATTTTTTTTTTTATAATTTCATGTAGTACATTTGTTCTAATTTGCATTTGCTCCAACCTTTAGCCGTTATCTAAAGAAAAGGAGATTCTTTTTGAAAAATTGTCCTTCAACACTAATTTTTCTCAAATTTCATTGGATCGCCGCACTTTGATGTCGTTTCTTGAATTCTTGACGTCGTTGGACAAATTCTTGGACGACAACCCGTTTTTGCAAGGATGGGCTTGGGCTGATATTGGAGCCACAAGTCCACAATCGCACAAAATTAATTAATCAGTGTCAAACACGGCTCTAATCGCTTTTGTGATGGTCAACATGATGGATGGTTGAAGATCCATAATCCTGTTAAACGAGGGGCTTAGATTTCTCTAAAGGAGAGTTCACAGAACTTTAATCTGCTGCCAGAGCAGGGAATAATACCAAATTAACACAGAGGGTAATATCGTATTCGTATCGACTCTGTTCACTCACTTGGTCATATAATAAACAGAACCTCAAGCAGTAAAGGAATTAGGCTAGTGACATTACCAGCGCGTGGCTACACTCTCTGCTATCGAGACCGGAGCTCAGACAGAGACACCTACTTCCTTCTCCGCCACCTCCAATGGTAAACCTATCTCAATTACGCATCGGCATTTTCGTCGATCATCTGAAATACTCATTTTCACTGTTTTTGATTTTCTCTTTGACTTGTTTATTTTGTTCTGCTTTTGAAGGCTCCAAAACCGATCACGAGTCCAGTACCGGACACATGGTATCCATCCCTAGCAGTGACCATGCTCGCGATCGGCCTCGTGGTCACCGCTTCCTTCTTCATGTAAGCTCGATCCGATTATAAGAACATTTCTTAGTCGAGTATTTGGATAGATCTAGGTTCGCAGTACACTGATTTCAAGAGCTGGAATTTTTTTGTAGAATAGATAATTTTACATGATTAATTGCCTCTTCATTTTCGTTGATTTTTATGGAATTCGTAAATTCACGTGGCTTTTAAAATCAGGTATTTTAGGTTTGTGGTAAATTATGATTTTGGTTAGGGGCGTCCTTATCATCCATACTAGCTCACTGACTTTACCTAAGTGCTTGATAAAGTCCATTTTATTTTGCGTCGTGAATGAAAAGATGTTTTCAAAATTACAAAAATCACATTCAAATCCTGCGATTGGCTTTGCCTGCTCTTCTGATGTTATAAAAATGTTTTAATTCTGTAGTATTAGTAGAATGGTACCATTTTTTCGAGTATAATTTAGGAATGTTCTTGAAATGTTAGTTTGAATTTTAATATGTTGCTTTAGTACTTGAATATTTACATGACATTCATAAGCTAATAGAAGAGGAAAGTAGCATTGTCATGAGTGGTCTATGCGAATTGCTAAATATTTTTCGTTTGGTTTTACTTCTTGCATGTATTTTCAAATATGGTCGTTTTTAGTCATATCTCACTTTTAATGTACTATAAGAGGGTGCTATGGAAAAGAGTTTTTATATATTTTTTATTTTTTATTTTAAATTTCCCCTGGACTTGCTTTATTTTCTAGAACATTTGGATGATGCCTCATCATGTGATGTTCATGAATTGTTGAAGGATCCTTTGGTTTATGATGTTTATCTGTTTCTTGCTTTAAATTTACGTTCAAGATTCAGGGATTTCTTTTAACCTGTTGTGATGGAGCTTTCTCAAGGGCCTTATTCTTGTGAGCTACTGGATAGTTGTGCTTTGTGCATTGCTGGGATATGCTCCTCAATTTTGAAAACATCTTTTGCATTTTATCCTTTGTATGTAAAATGCATTTTCCCAAGATGCATGTGAATTCTTAAGAAAAGAAAATTAATCTTTAGATCCATTTGTAATGGTTCTTGAAATGTATTTCTTTTCCTGTTCAAAATATTGATTGTTCTGAGGTAATTTTCTCGAGTTTCAATGTGTTATTTTGTTGTTGCATTTCTATGATGCTGGCATAGGATTTTGGATGTTCACTGACAACGTGAAGACGCACTCACTTATTTATCAGTGTTTCAAAATACACGTTAAAGTTTGAAATCTTGCTTTCTAGCATGTTGTGGTTGAGTGGCGCCGCCCCCCACCCCCACCCCCCTTCCTCTTCCTGGCAGGTAGGGGGTTTAGTTTTTTCAAAGTGCTACTTTATCCATAATATTTCTTGTTGAAATATGAAGGATCACTTTCAACATGCTATATTGAGTTCAACTGTTAATAGGTAGTTGCTCCAAATTTTATACAGATGTGTGTTGACCTCAATAAGACCATTTTTTTGTAAACTGTTATTGCTTCAATAATGTAATGGTACTACAAAATTGTTTTGTCTGTGCATCGTGTGGATGAGTATTTCTTTATATTTTTTGAATTTCATAGTTATGTGCTGCATTGGATTATATGGGTTTTATTCCTTCCCCTAGTTGAAAACTATATGGATAGTAAGTGTTAGTGTTGTTAATGGTGAAAGTATCAGCCTTATTATCATGCTTATTTTATAGAGTTACTTGGTTTTGTCGTTTTATATAGGAAATTGTAGCTTATATGCAATGCCCCATTTTGGTTTATAACAGTTGTAAGTATCATGTACAGCTATGAAGCAACCTCATCTAGGCGAAACCGCAGTCTTGCCAAGGAGCTTGTAACAGGAGCATTGGCATCTTTCTTTCTGGTATAGTTTGTTGTTTAATGTTTCTTCACCACTAGCTATTTGTTATCACAAATTTTGATTATTGCTTGACTGTTGAACATGGTCATCACTGCAGGGTTTTGGGTCCTTGTTCCTGCTACTTGCTTCTGGCGTTTATGTGTAGGGTTATTTAGAACCAATTAAAGTTTATGTTAAGCAAGATCATTGTTACTTAATAGAATTTCTTTTTCTTGGTTAAGAGCTGTGGACTTGAACTGTTACAACTACAATCTTTTTGAGTCGTTTCTAACTTCAAAGGATCCTGCTTATTCAAACATTATTTCCGTATTATTTTTGAGGGCTTTGTTTAGGTCAATAGGCATCGTCTTCAGCCCATCATACCCTTTCCTCTGGTGAGGCTAGATAGTAGAAAGCCCAGATAATATTTTTTGTTGAATTTTGTTTAGAATTGGCATGATAAAGGAAGGCATTACTTCTTAACCCAGGTTAAATTATTAATACGAGGAAGGGGAACCCTAGTTGTGAGTTTTTCATTTTAGAAAGCGGGAGGAGGGGACCGGGAAATTCTAATTTGTGAAATATCATTATACGAAGGCTGGCCAGAACCACCAATAAATAAATGTTTAAAAAGTACATAAGCTCCAATCAGAATTTAGCATACGCTATCCTGCTGACCCTGCCCTGATAAAAAAGCCTCCGGTGAGCAATGCGCCGCCGTCAGCTACTCACGAATCCGCGTGTAAATATTGGTGCAAAGAGCTTGTTTCGCCAAGCTAAAACGGGATCTACAATTAACTTTTTTTTTTTTTTTTCCTTTCTTAAGGGAATCTACAATTAACGTTTTAATACTCTAAATTCATTTTGTTTAATTTTTCTAATGGAAAGTGTTAAGAATAAGTAGTTTGACGCTGAGTAAAATACTTTTGTTTTTACTTCCAGTTCAGGCAGGATTTATTCTTAACTCAGCGTTTTAATACTTTAAATTCATTTTGTTTAATTTTTTTAATGGAAAGTGTTAAGAATAAGTAGTTTGACGCTGAGTAAAATACTCTTGTTTTTACTTCCAGTTCAGGCAGGATTTATTCTTAACTCAGCGTTTTAATACCAAAAAAGAAAACGTAGAGCGGAAATAGAAGCAAATAATCTAAAGATTTACTTTTGCTCCAAAAATGCCAGGTATATAATACGCTGTTACAGAACATTATTTCCAAATGAAGCGTCTCCAATCCTCTTTCGGCCCTAGCCGATCTTTTTACCGATTATGCCTATTACAGGGAACTTTGGATACTAACTACGCTGCAGGCTGCAGCCTTTACCGCTGCCATCAATTGCCAAAATCCAGGTGGAGACAAATCCATAGCAGCGGAAACAGACTGTAAAGAACGTTTCGACTGACGCGTGTTCACCACCGTCTTTAAACCGAGCGTCGAATTCCTAACGCCCTTCCTTTTACATTCACCACCATATATAATATATTGGATTACAGCGACCTACTCTCTCCCAAAATTTCACAATCTACAGTGCGGTGGTAGGTCCACTCCGGTCCCGGTGTGTTTCGTTTTCATATCTCTTTTCAGCCATTTTTCTTTTTTTCTTTTTTACTATATAAGAGTTTGGAGAGTGTGATATAGCTCTCAAATGGAGCCTCAAGTGGTAAAAAAGAGAGGCCGAAAACCCAAGCCCAAAGACGAGAAAGATCTGCAACAGCAACATCAGAGTGCAGCCTCCAAAATGAAGGAGGGAAAGAAAGCTCAACCTTCTGTCGATGAGAAGTACACTCAATGGAAGTCTTTGGTTCCAGTTCTCTATGACTGGCTTGCTAATCATAATCTTGTTTGGCCTTCTCTCTCTTGCCGGTACTTTTTTTTTCCACTCTCATTTTTAGGGTTTTTGAGTTTTAGTAGCAGAGTTAACCTGTTAACACTCTCACCAAGCTTCTATAGTTGTTTTAGCGGTTATATCGTGTTATTTTGCAATCTACTATCTGCTGAAAGGTGATCTAGCCTCGTATCTTGATACTTTAGTCTTAAACCCTAGCTGAGCCATGTTCAGCTTCATGTCCATTTTTATTTTTCAATAGCGGGAGAGCATGATTTGGTTGTTATGATCCATTTCTGTTTTTATTTTCCCTCCTATTTTTGAGGATGATTCTATTTCGCTTAGGTTCTCATTTTGCTTTAACTTTTCTCCATTTCATGGGATGGTTGATCTTGTTGTGAACAGATGGGGCCCACAGCTTGAGCAAGCTACTTACAAGAATCGCCAACGTCTATACCTTTCCGAGCAGGCAAGATTACATGGCAAACAAAATGCCTAAAATCAACCAGCATATTACTGTTGTTTTGTTTTTGTTTTTTGTATTTGTTACTTTTGTGCTGCAAATCTCTGTTTTCTACACTTGAGATATGTTCTCGTATTAATCCCTTGCCAATTAACATTACCTTGCCTTGTGCTACAACTAGCAAGTCTTCAGGTAATTTTTATTTTTCATTTACATTCTTTTTATATGAGCAGACTGATGGTAGTGTTCCAAATACTTTGGTTATTGCAAATTGTGAAGTTGTTAAGCCCAGAGTTGCTGCTGCAGAGCATATATCTCAGGTGATTTTATACTACCTGATGTATTTTGCTCTCTTGTTCCTTTTTCTACTTTTTAGATCCGTGAAACTCTCCGTCAATTCAAAAATTACCTATCTGTTGCTTTTCTTTGTAGTTTAACGAAGAAGCACGTTCTCCATTTGTTAAGAAGTACAAGACCATCATACATCCTGGAGAGGTATGAATATTAAATAGAATGTGTGCAAAAAAAATTGTCATAAATACACAAATCTGCAGAGGCATATCAAGAGGAAAATTTTTGGTGTTTCAGTGTTTGTGTAAATTGATTATATTCATCTGGTCCATTCGATGTTGTGAAATTTATTTCTCAATTGAGATGTTATGAAAAGAGATTCTTTAAATAGGCATTTATTCTTTTGCCAAAATAACTCTCCCTAATGCTCCTTACGCCCCTTTGCTGTACTCAAAAAGATGAGATTCCCATGGCAAGTATCTGTTGCAGGTGAACAGGATCAGGGAACTCCCACAGAATAGTAGGATTGTGGCCACTCATACTGACAGCCCTGATGTGAGTTTATGAACCTTTTGATTTATTTTATCAGGCTGCTGAGGATACACTGGTTTTATTTTATTATAGTTTTTATTGGTTGGCCAAGTTTAACATTACCTACACTGGACAAAATCAGGTTCTCATATGGGATGTTGAAGCACAGCCCAATCGCCATGCTGTTCTTGGAGCTAATCATTCTCGTCCAGATCTGGTATGGCCTTTCAAGTCTTTGGTGCTTTTTCTTGCTTCTTGTAGGTCGTAGACCATTTTAACCTGGAATTTTTCTTGCAGATTTTGACTGGACATCAAGATAATGCAGAATTTGCTCTTGCAATGTGCCCAACTGAACCCTTTGTTCTTTCTGGAGGATTCTACGCTTCCAGATCTGTTATGGTCCTTTCAAGTTCTTTTGGTGCTTTTTCTTGCTTCTTGTGAGGTCGTAGACCATTTTAACCGGGAATTTTTCTTGCAGATTTTGACTGGACATGCAAGATAATGCAGAATATTGCTCTGCCGAATGTGCCCAAGCTGAACCCTTTTTCTTTCTGGAGTTGGGAAACGTTAAGCATTGCCTTTTGTAGATTAATTACATGATAGCTTTTTTTTTTTTTTTTGGGGGTGTGTGTGTGTGTTAATGTTGGAATCTGTTTCTTCTCTGGATGTTGTTCACAATGAAACTTTGGGTTTTGTATATTTTGTATTCAAAAAGCCATGTTCTAGTTTTGCTGTGCTTTCATGGGTGTGACGATTGTCTGACTGACCTGTATGATTTTTCTTTATGAAGATTTTCTTCTTAAGCAGGTAGATTTTCATTCAGGGGAAGGACAGTCAGTGAGTTTTGTTGGGAGCAATCCAGGACCATATGAACAGGCATCTGCCACTGATCCAGCCTCAGCCAAGTCCTCCAGGATCTGGTGGATGCAATCATTTAAAAAAGGTTGGGGATGGTAATGATAAAAGCTGCTGAACCCTTCTGTAGGACCACGAGGTATCTACCAGGGATGAGGATACGGTTGAGATGTGGCGATTCTGCCCATCCAGGTATCTTGCAGGGTAGTTGTTAAAATGCAGATAAGCTCCAACATTGGTTTCACCTGATGTTTGGACGGAAGCATTCAAATTGAAGTTGTAAATTTCATGGTAAATCAGATGGATAACTTGTTTTAGCTCTTTATCTTTTTGTTGTTTAATGCAAATTGAGTTTAAATTTCACTAAAATTGTTGAATTTTGGTGTGGTACCATGCTTTCCGATTCTATGGCCTTTTTCATACAGGGGAGTTATCATAAACATATAGCAAATAGCTATTCCCATTGCAGAAATATCATAGGGGAAAAAAAAAGCAATATTCATCTATTTTTCTTACAGGCCATTGTAGTTTCCCGTAAGCTATGTATAGTGAGAAAAATATATTTATTGTGCGTGGCAATTTTATCCCTAACGAAATATGTATTTCTGCTGAAGTCGCAGGAATTTGTGAGTGTAGGAGATGATTCTTGCCTTATATTATGGATTGCTCGATGTTGGGCTCTAGTCCAGCAATCAAGGTTTACTTGCTTCATAAATCATTTTCATTAGTCTTGTCGTTAAATCGTTTGTAAAATTCCCTCTGTTTACGGGATGAAAAACCTCATGTTAATAGAAATGCAATCCATCCACACCCCCTTGTTTGTAATTTCTTTTCTTTTCTTTTACCTCCTTTTCATTCTGTTAAGAAAGTCTAGTGTTAAATGGAAAATTAATGATGCTCTCCGTCCCATTATATTGCAGTTTAAAATATTTGGCCATTTGAGAAGAAATTCGAGCTTGTTTTGTTTATTCAAACGTTTTCTTATTATTTCATGAAAAGTGTTGCCATTCTTATGGATTTCAACCAAAAATTTACAAAAACTGTTGGAAGGGGGAACCTTTGCTTCAATAGTTTTCTTTTTCCTTTTTCCCCCAGATGTTTTTTCCACCCCCAAGGGAAAGGAAAGGTTTGATTCTAAAACCGCTTAAGTAATCTCTCTCCTTTTTTT